ACTTTTTTTTGTATGCTTTATGCAGGCGTGTAATACGTTTACGCATGTGCGTTTGATGTATAATGGATGGTATAAGCTAGGCTAAAATTATCTTTACCGATTCTAAGGCATTTAAGTTAATGTTGCAGATTGCGCTATTCCTTAATCTTCTAATTGGATACGGTTTATTATTTTTTGCAGACTGTTAGAGCAATTTTATAAAAATTAAGCTTGAACTTTCGATTATGTCAAAAAGAGTTTCCAATTCTGAAGCTGCCAAAGGATCTACAAAGCAAAAGCATGTTTTGATGTCCATCAAACAAAAAGTGGAATTGCTGCAAAAGATAGGTAAAGGCATATCCGTCTCAAAATTATGCGAGGAGTATGACATTGGAAAGTCAGCTGCGTATGACATAAGCAAAAAGAAAAAGGAACTTTTTGTGAATTCCCACACCTCACTTGCAATGAATAACAGAAAAAGGGTTCGTTATGCTAAAAGTGATGATCATAACAAAGTGATGATTGAATGGGTCAGACAGTATCGCAGCGAGGACGTGCCATTGACGGATCTAATGCTAATGGCTCAAGCCAGAATATTTCATGAAGAAATGAAACACTGAGTGCACATATTTGACAGGTTGGTTAACCAAATTTAAAAATCGCCATGGTATAAGGCAATTAAAAATTTCAGGGAAAAAGCTTCAGCTGATACTGAAGCAGCTAAACAATTTGCAGATGCATTCATTGAACTCATTACTAGTGAACTATTATCTCCGGAACAAATTTACAATGCTGATGAAACTGTTCTTTTCTGGCAATATGTACCGTGAAATACCTTGGCAACATCTACAGAAAAGGCTCCAATTGTTGTCAAAGATCCCAAAGTGAGACTAACAATTTTAGCTTCCTCAAATGCTGCAGGAACGCACAAGTGCAAACTTTTCGTAATCGGGAAACATGCATGACCTCGAGCGTTTAAAGGAGTAACAATTTTTCCCTTATATATTGCGCAAATAAAAGAGCATCGATGACACAAGCGCTGATGAATGATTGGTTTCAAAATCATTTTATGCCTAAAGCTTGGCAACACTTGAATTCAGTTGGTTTACCTGATGACTCAAAAATAGTCCTGATTGTTGACAACTGTTCGGCACATACTTAAAGTTTTAGTGAAAGATGATGTATCTGTATTATTCTTCCCTCCAAATTGCACGTCTATCATTCAGCCTATGGGCATGGGAATAGTGCACGTGCTAAAATGCAAATATAAAGTAGCACTTTTAAAATGTATGCTAAATTTCTTGAACAATGGCAAGACTATTAAAGACTTTTTGAAATTTTTTAGCATAAAATGTGCTGTGGGGAGCATCGCAAGTTTGTGGGAGGATGTATCTTCAGATACATTAAAAAACGCTTGGCATAATTTATGGCCAGCTACCATATTTCATGGTGAGTTCGATGAAGATGATAGCCGTGAATTTGAAGGTTTCATGAAATTTCAAGGAAATTTTCCAGTTATTGGATTTTGTAAAGAGATGTGGAGAAGTGGTAATAAATGAAGATGATATAACAGAAGTTTTTCATTGCGACGACAATGCCCCAATCATCAATCAATTAACGGACAGTGAAATCTGTAATATGGTTCTAAATCCAGAAAATACCTCTTCCGATAATGAAGAAAGTGACAGAGAGGTTATTGAAAACAAAAAAATTTCTATTGACAAGTTAGTCGGTATTCTCGACACAGCAATTACAGGACTTGAAAGTGGAACTTTGTAACTGAACAAGAAATTATGTCTGTTTATAGAATTAAAGAGAAAGTATTGGCAGAAAAAACGAAGCAACTTAAACAACTTACATTGAAAAAAATGTTTAATAAAGTAAACAAAAAAATATTAAGCTTTTTTTTTTTTTTTTTTTTTTTTTTTTTATAAATTTTGATACCCTTTAGATCATTAACCTCTTTATCTCATAAATTACGGTTTCATATTTTTAATTGTATAATTTCTGCATGCCATCTTACCAGATTTAAATTGATGATCTATAATCCGGAATCGCCGAAGTCCCGACGAGTCCGAATTACGGACTTTGTACTGTATATATATTTAATTGTCAACATAGCGGGTTCTACTACAAAATTCCACATTTAAATTGCTGCAATATTTCAGAATTTATCTTTCAGTACTGAAGGAACTGAAATGCAACAGAACTCATACGATATGATCAGGGAGGTCACCTTTCATATAAAAGAATTCAAATTCAACGGAACATTTATCTGATTTGAGTGATCAGCGAAAATGAAATTAGGTTAGGGTGACCAGAATTCTTAACTTTTCCTTTAGTTCCAAATTTACTTAACTACAAATCTTCTAACATTAAAGTTTACTTATCTTGAATGAATTCCATTGATTGGACATTATCATAACTTTTGGTTTTAGAAATCCATATGGGGGCATTAATTTTCAGCCCTTTAGCTGGGCTGTCAGTTTATAACAAGAACATAAATTTCCTTTCTTTAAAATATTTTCTTTTAAACGTAATAGAAAGAAGAAAGAATTGTAAGCAAAATATTACAGCTTGAGGTGAACTGTATAATGTTATACCATAGTGCTTCCAGAAGACCATGGCGCAATCGTGTTTTTGCTCTCTGCTATTGATGACACAATCCAAATTCATACTTTAGGGAAGGAGGAGAGCAAATTTCCTTCCACAAGTTCAACATCAGAACAAGAGGAGAAAAGTTAATACAGTTTCTGATCTGTTACACAGGTAGCTTTTCTTCTCTTGTATATTAATTGCTTCCTTATACAAAGTAAAGGAAGTCAAAAATTCACAAAAAATTCCGGGAAACATATTTCAATGAAAATATCCATTTTGACTTCTATCTAATGCAATTTAGTGATGTTTTTATGTAACATCGCTAAATCGCTAGGAAAATTTTTCTCCAAACGGGGGGAGGGGGGTAAGGGAATTATACAACTTATTTAAAATGGATTCAAAAGAGATTTTTCTGTAATGTTCGTAGGTTCATATGTATTTCACATAACGAGTAGCCTCAGAACATTGACATTTTCTATATAGGACTGCTATATCATGTAGCTGTGCACCTCCCTTTTTGGTTGCAATTGGCCACAACAAAAGTATATATATACTAAATATGTATGACATGATATGGCTAATTTGGAACTTGGCGGTGGCGTAATAGATGCGTAGCGAAATACACTTGGCAAGGCAGACATGGCTGGATTCCAGATAATTTTATTATTGAGGAAAGCAATCCTGGATTAATATACGGACGGGCAACTTATGCATCCTACATTTTTATTAGCTTAGCATATATTCCTTGAACAAAGATAGTAGCCGTAAAGCATCTGGCCAGGAGGAAAGCTTATGTGAAAATGACACAGCAATTCAGAGAAAGAAGGGAGGGAGTCAAAAGTTTCAGTTGAGTTAAAAAAGTTTTGGTTTACAATGTAGTGATTGGGTAAGAGGTATCTGCATTAAACATAACGTAGGACTGCATGATTAATTTGAATGACACAATTTAGACTTATAGCACTTTTTTTAAGGTAGAGGGAGTTTTCAAATTAAATAAAAAAATAAGAGATTATAGGCAGTTAAAATTAGACGTTTGCTTTCATATTTTTTATCTTACATATATATACCACTTTGTTACTCGGCTCAGTGAGCTCAGTTTTTTTTATTCTTATATGTTGGTAAATTGTGCATTTTTTGCTTTAAAAATGATTGTTATTCTTATTTCCAGTTAAGATTTGTATGCCTTTAGGTAATCTGCATGCAGTAGTTGTAGCATTATCAACAATTTAAAAGTTGTTTAATTGCAGCTAAGCCTATTTTTTTTACCATAGCAACCATATTTGTTTACATTTGAAACTTAGCAGAATAGTGAATTAAGTCTTTTGGCACCTTCAGTGTGTTTTTGCCAAGTGGGATCAAAAGGAAACTTTTAGTTTTGCACACCAAAAAAAAAAAAAAAAAATCTGCCTTCTTGCTGCAATGCTCGTTTTTATGTAAAAACTGTAATTTTAAAAAAAATTGGGTACTTTTCCGTTTTGCCGGCGCAAACGATAAAGTCGCCAATAATGGTACAACTGATGCCAAACGGAATATCTTCGCTAGTAACCTTTTACGCTTCCTTTTCAAAACAAGTCGCAGCCATTTCTTATCAGATTGATTGTTTCTTTCAATACTGGCATACAATTACATAAAATTTTTACATAGATAGCTAAATTTTATGCCTTAAGACCATTCGCGGTAATTAAGTTAATTAGGATGCAATCACACCCGAAGCCGAAAATATAGAAAAGGCAAAATCAAGGGTTAAATTCAACAATTCTAATGAGAATGCACTAGCGAAGTAAAGCAAGGCGGTTTTACATAATTTCTGAGTAAGCTATTCGTACGAGTTGAACTAATTCTTGCATTTAAACTTGTATTCTATATTAAGATTTAACTTGAAATTAATGTAGATAATTACTGAGAGAATTAGTTTTTTGTAGCGTAGTTTACGTGAGATGAGATCACTTGGGGTCACGTGATACAAACCGGCGAAACGGGATGTTGAACCATGAAAGCATAGTAAATTCTTAAATTAATGGGTTTTTACAAATTTATTGTCTTTATTTACTAGCTTTTACAAAATTTTAAACCATATTAAAATGTTTATGCCTTCAAAATAAAAAATTCTTGGAACTAACATTTCTTAAAATTTTTTATGTGTATACCTGTATGCTGTCGCCAACAAAGTCTACTTGGCGAGATTTGCACCGGCGAAACGGAAAAGTACCAAAAATTGTTTTAACTGTATTTGGTATTTTATGTTTTCCTATAGCTTTCAATTTTTTAAAAAAAATATTTTGAGTTTTATGTATTTTTGCCTTCCCACGAAGTGAGAACTGAATTGCATATAGTTTAATATTTCCTACAATGAAGTCGTATGGTGGACACATCAGATTTTTTTTATAAATGTTTTCCTCATAAATACTTTTGCATGTTTGCAGATTGATTTGGAACCTGGTGGGAAAATTCATGTTGTTATTGAACTTATTCCTCAAGGTAATATTTTTATATTTCTCTCTAGTACTTTTTTTACTATTCTGAAGCTTAATTGAAAGGCATTGTACATTTTTTAGCTATATCAATTAGATTGTGCTTATTTCACATATTTATCTACATGCATCTACTTTTAATTAGAAATTTGTGTACATTTCTGTGAACAGAGCACCAGTTATCAAATGTGCACATGCACTGTGTACAGATCACTGAGAAAAACATCAGAGAGTTGCACAGATTTGGCATTGTACACATTAAGCATTATATATGTTATATGATGGATTACCAGGGCCGATATTAGACATTTTGCTACTGATGCAGTCTTTTTGGATACTAAATTCTGCTACCTGTTGCCTCTCTTATTTCTGAAAATTTTGCTACCCCTGATTTCTAAAAATTTTGCCGTCCCTAAAATATTGTTGTCCAGTGCTTCTCTAAATTTTTACAATTTGGTGCATCTAAATCCTGCTGCCCAGTGCAACTACATTGGCTCTGGCAGCAGCCATGTGCATTACTGGTATTTCAAGTTAATTTTTTTATGAAGCTTTACTTATCCTTATTGTTGCTGAGATCTAGTTAGATTTCCAACCAACATGTATATTTGGTATTAAATGTTGTACCATTAACTAAAAAGTAGTGAAATATTTAAGCATAGAACTAATTTTGTTTTTGTTTGCCAACAGTAGCTATTACTTTTATTTAAGGAAAGTACATGCAAAGTGATATATTTGTATGTTTTATATATTAAGAAATTTATATATATTGAAAAAAAAAAATAATAAGGAGCAGCTTTCAGAGTCAGACTGTTTCCACTCTAGACACCCAGTAACAGCAGGCTTTATTTTTCACTAACAATAGATCTCCTTTTTCTCACAAGAAGGGGAAATATCTTATTTCCAATCAAAACATATATTATTTTTAAGAAAGTTGACAGAAATTTCAAGAAAAAAAAAAAAATTTCAATTAAAAAAATTTTTCATGTCAACAAAGTATTGGATATTATGTCATATACCTTATACATCCATTTTTAAATAGATTTTCGCTTGTTTGCTGTGCATCCTTTGATTAAATCTTAAGAGCTGATAATATATATCTTTAACATTAATATCTGTATAACATGAAATGAAAATTTTAAAATGGAAATGGAATCTTTGGTTCTGTTGTAATTTTTTAACCCTGTTTGTATTATAACTGAATGAGGTATGCAAAGTAATAAATAGCATGTCAGATATCATAATTAGTAATCCGTAATGAAAGTTTATGTCACTCAAATGAGATTAATTTAAAAGAAGTACTAAATGTGAAATCTATTGAGAAAATATATTATTAATATAAGAAAAAAAGAGCTTTTAAAATGAATTACTGAGATATAAGTTTTATGCAAATACTTCTTCAAAAAAAATATATATAATTTATTTTAAAAAAATGTGAAATCTTAAGGGGGAAAAAAAGAGGAAATAATATTACATGTAGTAGATTATATAACCTAAACATATATTTCTGATGTCATGAAGAATTTTTTTTCTTTTTAAATCAAAATGCTGCATATTGAAAAATAAATAATAGTGGGGGGAGGAATTCTGGAGGAATCATTATGATCAAGTATTTGAAGAAGAAAAAGACAATAACAGAAGCCATTTATGCTGCATTATAAATCATTATAAAAAGAGCTGGTGCAGAAGGACGGAAACTGGTGCATAAAAAAGTGCTGTTTTACTGTCAGAATGGTAAAATTACATGACTTTATACTTTGAAGGATTCTTTGTATATGTAATTCTCCAGATGTATTCTTAAATGACTTTCTACTGTCAAACATGAAAATCTGTAATGGTGGGAAGACTTTGAAAAATTAAAGATGACATGGTCACCATCCATGCTTATTTTTTATGAAAACTACATTTCCATTGGAATGGAAAACTTACAAACTTGCAGGGCTAAGTCTGTTAGCTATGCTGAGAAATAAAAGCAGTTCCCCCCCCAAGGAAAATAATATTTGACTAAAATTTTTTTAACCATATTTATCAAACAAACCTCTTTAAATCATACTTTTCTGTAGTCATTACATAAGAGAAATATTGAACAAAACTTCCCTTTTCATTTTTTTATAAAGAAAAAGAAATATTATTCACATTTCATTCATCAGCAAGAGAAGGTATAAATTTAGATCCTTTATTCAAGCATGGTGGTGTAAAGTAAGTATTTTAATTGAAGAATACCTGATTCTTGAGCATATACGAACTTGGGTAGTCATAAATATATTGGTATCAATGAGCAGGCTTGCATGTCTACCCATACTTTTTTTTTAATTTTCTTACATTTTTGCATCTAGCATTTGCTGTGTTTTCATTACTAATGTATTATTGGAGCTTCGTTGAAACATATATTTACCACAACAAGTATCCCAAAATGTTAATGTAGATACAGGTGGTTGAAGACTACTAGTACATAATTAGTGGTAGGAAAATAAACATTTTTATTTTTACTATCTTTTAAACATTGTATTGTGTGGTACTTATGGAAAATCTCGTCGACCACAAGAAAAAAAAAAAAAAAAATTTACTAAATCCAAGAAAAATGTCACTTAACTCTAATTCCTCTTTTCCCCATTCAGTAGTCATCAATCAATTCTCTGCGCCAACTGCAAATGAATAGGAGTGCAGTCAAAAATGAAACAGTAGAACCCTCGAACCATGTTCCCTTTCCAGTTGACACTCGCTTCGCAAAAGCGTTAAATGTTGCAATGCATTGCTTCTCAGTTTTTCAATAAAGTGCCATTTTGTGGCCATTAACACATTTTTTTTTTGAAGCTGGTAAGATTCCATAACTCTGGAAATATTCAACAGCATGCTCTTCTGTAGTAGGCAGGCCCCAAATTTTAATCTCTTTTTTTTTTTTTTTTTTTTTTCGAAAATAAAATGCGTGATAGAGGGGGAAAAGGAGTCTACTCAAGAATAATAACTTACACATGTAATCAAGGTTACACCAAACCCAGCGTGTTTGAAGAATACTTTTCTATTTTTGGCGAAAAATCGAGTAGTTTGGCGTCTTTTTTTTTAATAGGCAAAAATGGTCAATGGGATTTTCCGTAAGTACCTATTATGCTGTATTGTGCAAGGACTTCATGTAACTGTCATTTTTTTACAGATGAAGTTAAAATATCCATATCCGTTACTGTCATAGATGCAAGAGATAGTATATTTTAGTGTACAATACATTTTAGATTGTTTAGTAATACAGGAAAGACTATTTTATTATTTTGTTATTTAATATAAATAATGTCTTATTGCATAATTTATCAATTAAATTTGACTTTAAAAATATGTATTACATGAATATCCTGTTTGATGTGCCATCATCCAATTTCATGATTCTTAAGTTGTAAACATATTATCCATGGATTTGGGGCACTAGTGTATATTATGTTTTGCTGTGTTTATTTTCAACTGACAGTAAGTCACAAATTTTTATTCTCAATTTTTATACAAAACATATATAAGAAAGTTATATTTAATTAATGAATTCAGATATTGAATATAAATTATTTAGTAATCTTTTTTGGAGGGTTATTTTTTATTTTCTGTAGTCTAGATGTCTAGATTTATTTGTGATGGATAGTATTTCTTCTGTAATTATGAAAAGCGAGTACTGTACTGTAAGTGAATTTCCCAGATGGAAAGTAATCAGACCAGTGGTCATTTAAATACATATTTTAAAATTTAAACAAAGATTTCTGGATTAAATAATAGTAAATCATCAGTACAGCTACAGAGCGAACAGACAAAACTTGCGCGTGATGCGGATCACACAGTCACTTTGCTTGACTTATACCTACTGCATCTTTTAGACAAAGAAAGAAAAAAAAAAAATACACCTCTTCCTTTCTTTTTACATTATCGTCACAAAAAAATCGCTCGAGGGGGAGGTGTCCTTAACGAGTTTCCTTTGTTGATTACCTTCCGGTCATCTAGCAGACCCAGTGGCTCTTTCTCAAGAGAACAGGAAGTCCTCTAATTTAAATCTGACGGTCCATCAAACTGAGGATGTTCGCAAGCCCTTTCCTTCCCAGGGGGGTTGCAGAATTCCAATATCTCTTGCTTCACTGCTAGATACACAAAAAGACAGCACAAAGTAATGAATATAAGCTCAAAATTTTTACACTGTGCTGGGTTAAGTACCAAGTATAAAACAAAATATGAGCTTATATTGGGGCCAGTATAAAAAAAAAAACACATAACCAAATATTAATTAACTTAATTACTCACATACACAATAGAATTATATTATATTATTTATTTATTTATTTATTTTTTAAATCTTGTGATGATTATACATTTATCTAGGCTGAAAAGGAAAGCCTTGCTGATATTTGAATATCAGTTTCTGGTTAATTTCACTGTGGAAACCCAAAACTTGATCCTGAAGTACTGCGCTTAATGACCTCAAAATAATCATACATATTTGATTTGTCTTCAACATAAGACAAACCCGTTTCATTATCAATTTGATTTACTTCATCTATGCAATATGCATAATTATTCCTAATAGGCATCTCCATATAAGGCTTTAGCATAATAAGATGGCAAATATCTGATCTTTCTTTCTTTCTTCCCTGGTAAATTTACAATGCAATTTGTGTCAGACAATCCACTTCCGAATTTTCCAGACTTTGTCAAATGGACCGAGAATTCGACTGGTTGGTATGAGGCCAAACCTGGCATAACTATAGCTTTTTGATCATGCCGAATTTTTTTAGAGATTCCCATTCTGGTGTAAGGCTTCAGTAACAGAAGTGATATCTTCTATTGGAATCATCTCTGGCATATATTAGCACAAAGCAAGCTTAAGGCCGTTGGCCGTTATTTGGATGTTCTTTCATTATTTCGTTCATCTTGTCCTCAGTTAGGTGAGTACACGTGCCTTCGGGAAATAGTTTTAGAAATTATCATCTTTTGTTATGTCTGCGAGAAAGGTGAAATACTCGTGCACGTTTCAAAAATCGTACACAGTTGACTTTCCTTCCATTATTTCCTCAAGGAAATGTAATAAATTTGCGATGTGTACCATCTGTCATTGCAATTTTTCGATTTTGCATAGTGGAAGGGTGGATGTTCTCAAACATGCGTACACAAAAACTCAAAGACAATATGAGTTGTTTTGAAAAAAACGAAAGATTAAATTTTTCTTCGGAAAAAAAAAGACCAAAAAGTAATTAATGCAGAATATCTGTTCTCTGCCTTTTTACTGGAGCACAACCTGTACTGAATGCATCGGGTCACGCTGCAGGTTTATTTAGAAAAATGTTTCCCGATAGTGAAATCGCTAAGAAATACTCAAGTGCAAGGACCAAAACAGGTGCAATTGTTAAAGAAATGGGTTTGAAAAATAAATCTTCAGTTATTGATTGCATTAAAACAGCTCCGTTCTGCCTCTCTACGGATGGAAGCAATAATACCAATTCAAAACTGTATCCAATTGTTTCTTTTTTTAATCCAGAGTCTTCAGAAATTGAGTGCAGTTTACTTTCTGTCCCCACATTAGAAGGACATTCGACAGGCTTTAATATAGCACAGCTAATTATTAAAACTTTAAAAGAAAATGCAGTCCCTCTGGATAATTGCTTAGCACTTGGTGCCGATAACGCACCAGTAATGGTAGGCTTGAAGACTGGTGTTGCAGGCATCTTAAGAAAGGCAAATTCAGATATGAGGTGCACCTGTCACCTCTTGAATTTAGCAGCTGAAAAAGGGGCAGCTTCTTTACCAATAAATGTGGATGAACACATTGTTGATATTTATTATTATCTTGAAAGGAGTTCTAAAAGAAAGAAAAAATTGAAACAGTTCCAACAGCTGCATAATACTGAAATGAGAAAATTTTTGAAACGTGTGTACACGCTGGCTGTCTTTAAAGAAATGCTTATCTAGAATCCTCGATAAATGGAACCCACTTCTTGCATTTTTAAAGAAGAAGTAAATGCTTCGAGAGTTAAGATAAAAGGTTCTATTAAAAGTTATAAAGTACCTAAAGTAAATGGAGATGTAGTTACTACTTCTATTGTTAAAAATAGGTTTGAGAAAAATAAAGTAATTTCTTCATCATTCAGCAATTCAACTGGCAGTTCTCAAAATAATACTGCAAAATATAAGTGTAAAGCTGATACAAATTTCACTCAAAATAAAAATATTGTTCAACACACGAAATGTTTTCTGATTACTGTAAGTTTATCTTGTGAAGAACGAATATTTATGTTTTTTTCTTCGGACCTTAACGAAGCTTTTTGCTTTTTTTTACAATTCATTTTGCCATCATTCGATGTTCTTAACACAATTCTACAAAGCAGAATTCCATTAGTTCATGTTTTGCAGTCAATGATTTATGATCTGTTTAAAGACATTTTATCAAAGTTTGTAAAACCAGTGTGTGTTTTGTCTTGTAATTCTATATATGATGTGATTTATGGTGAAATAGAAAATCAAAAGAAAGACGAAGATTTGGGAATAGGAGCTGCAACTACAAAAGTAGTGGAAGACCTTTCAGAAGAAGACAAAAATAAGTTTTATCTTCATGTTAGAAGTTACTTCTGTCGAGTATGTGATTACATACTACATTAATTTCCAGTCAACGATGAAGTGATTTTGCATGCTAAAGTTTGTGATGTTTCTGCTCTAGCAAATGCATCTTTTTCTGATATAAGGTACTTTTTGAACAGATTTCCTGTGTTACTTCATTTAGTCTTGAAAGATGATGATATTGATGTTGCTACTGATATACTGCAATCGCAATTTTGCAGTTTACAATTAGAAAACTTGGATGAAGTTATAAAATCGACTAGGATTGACACCCAGTGGAGTTTAATTGGAAAACTGAAAGGTGCTGATGGAATTTTAAAATATAATGAACTGTCTAGAATTATGTTGGCTTGACAGTTCCCCATAGTAATGTGGAGTGTGAAAGGAATTTCAGTGTTGTTGCGAAAACAAGGACTAAATTTAGATCTAATATTAGTGATGACACATTAGAAAAACTTTTATTAGCGAAAGCAGGCCTACGTGGCAATTGCTATGAACAAAATTATGAAGTTTCTTTCTTAACGAAAGCAAAATCTGTCACTGTTCATAACACTTGTATGAAAACTGATTAAAGTGTCTCCTTTTTTTTTTTTTTTACGATGCAAGTAATAAAAATGTTTTTTATGTAAGGTATTTTTGTGTTGCTTGCATTTAAGACTTAGTAACTATTTAAAGTTAATTCATTATTAAAAACTTAAGTTAATTCTAGGTTAAATAACAGTAAATCATCAGTACAGCGGCAGAACGAATAGACAAAACTTCCGCATGAAGTGGATCACACAATTGCTTCGCACAACTTATACCTATGGCATCTTTTGGACAAAAAAAAACCCTCTTTCTTTTTATGTTATCATACCAAGGAAACCGCACAAAGGGGTGTGTCCTTAATGAGTTCCCTTTGTTGATTAGCTTCTGGTCATCTAGCGGTCCCTGTGGTTCTTTCTTGAGAGAACGGGAAGTCCTCTAATTTAAAGCTGACATTCCATTAAATTGAAGATCATTACAGTGCATTTGAATTTTAATTGTGGAATGCTTTGGACTTCATGTTCTTTGACATTAATTTCCATGACTTTTTAATTTGTTTTGATTATCTTATAAATATATGTAAACTTGTAAATATGAAATATCAGAGGTTACTGATTACCCTAAAAGTAATTTGCCATTGAACAAAAACTGCCAGAGTATCATAAAACTTAAAAAATATTTCATGCTAAAAAAGTGTGAATATTTTATCGAAGAAGTTGTTAAAAACTGAAAATTGATACACAGTTATGTTTCATTGATAAAACATTATTTTTGTTTGAAATGAAAGGATTTATGTAGATTTAAATTCTAATATGATATAATGTTACTGGGAAGTTAAGAGTTAATGTCTTTAAATAAAGAAAAATTACAATTCAGAATAGAGAATTATCATTGTTCTGGAGATGTAATTTTTTTATGTATTTAAATTTACATAATTATTTTATAAAAAAGTTGTGATGTTTTATTTGCTAGAAAATGCTACTCAGAAACCTAAGGTTTTTAAAGAAAGGCAAGGACTCAATAGGCGGAGAGGAGCTATGCGACGACGTGTTCATCAAGTCAATGGACATAAATTTATGGCTACAATTCTTAGGCAACCTACTTTTTGTTCTCACTGTAGAGAATTTATATGGTAAGCTCTTTTGAGTTAATTTTTAATAAAGATATTAAAAAACCTGATAGCTTTCAGATTTTATATTATGCCCCAAGCAGCTTTTTTTAATGTTTTGTGTGTTAGCTTGTTATTCTAATTTAATTAACCAGTCCCTCAAACAAATTGGAAATGACATCAAAAATAGCAAATTTTAAAATTAAATATACTGGTCGATTTTTGTCGCACAGGAATCAAACTTCAGTGCTCCTGAATGGTTCGTACGGGAGACAAATTAATTTTATTTTTCATAACAAATGTAAAACTTTCCTGAATATAAGTACAGGAACCGGGAGATTGCATTGAAAGCTAAATTTCATTCATTATTAATCAAAAATTGATTCTCTTTTTAAATTTGACACCAGAAAAACATGAATATTTTTGTCTTTTGAAACACTTCTGTAATTGAAAATATGTGGGTACAACCAACGATTGCAAAAATGAAGGCCGGGTAAGAGGGTGGTTATTAAAGCATGAAATAATCTCTGAAAACTAATAAAATGTATAAAACTTAATTTTTTTTTATTAACACAAAGGGTGGTAGCCGAGAAGGAGTATTAGTCTCATAACAACATTTTGTGGCGATTCGCTATAAATGAAGAATAATTTTTTAAGTTTTGCCACCAAATATTATTGCCCTGTATTATATTTAAAAAAATTAAATAATGAAGAATCTGTATTAATATATGTATGTTTCTCACATTGTTAAAAAAACAGCGGTACCTAAAGACATCTAATTTTGAATAATGTAGTCTTCCGCTCGAATATGGTCACCTGGAACACTGAATCTTGAATTTTGAATTAGTTTTATTATCTATTTCTTACTTTGTAAAACTCTAACAAATTTTTGATTAACAAACTCAATGATTTCAAAGCGAGCAATGGAAACACTGTATGGGAAAAAAAACATTTTTATCTCCAGCGCTCGAGGCTAAATTCTAAACATATGCTGTATTCAAATATTTTTAGCCATATGCTCTCGAAACGCGTATGTGTGTGCAAAGGAAAAATGCCCTTTGAGCGTAATATAAAATCTGAAATGTTTCAGTCTTTTTTTTAATTCAAAGGGCGTTAGTCCAGAAGGGCTATTAATTTCGTTTTGATATTTTGCATTGATTCACTATAAATAATGGTTAATTTTTCAAATTGTTGCCACCAAATATTAGATCCCTGTATTATATTTAAAGAAATTAAAGAAGGAAGAATCTGCATAAATGTGTATGTTTCTCACATTGTGATAAAACAACGGTACCTTGAGCCATCAAATTTCGAATAATGAGCGTTTTCACCCGAATATGTGCATCTGGAAGCCCAAATTTGGAATTTGTTTTGTTACCTATTTCATATTTTGTAAAACTTTAATGAATTTTTGATTAAGTAACTCGACGATTTCAAAGCGAGCAATGACAACACTGTACAAAGAAAAATAAAAATTATCTCCAGCACAAGACTATGTATCGGAAATTCTAAAGGTATGCTCATTTTAAAATTATTTTGCAATATTGCTGTTTAACTGAATTTTTTGTTTTGCATGCCAGTTAAACCTTTTCTTCGAAATCTTTCAATTAATAAACCATTACTTCAAAACCATTTAATCAGACCTTTCCTTCGAAACAACCACCTTACTTCGGATAGTAGGGACCCATGGTGGCTTCCCAATCTTCACACACTGTACCTATGCCCCGTTTTACAAGGAAGATAGGTTCCACACAAAACCATGTAAATCGAAATTTTGGATTTTGCTATGTAAAGCTGTGTAAAATGAAAAACACAGTATATGTCCTTAATTTAGCTATTTATTTATTTACATAAAACAAAAATAAAACATCTTAAAATAATTAAAGTTATACTTCGTTCATAAAATAACAAATATATGCCATTAATAGAAGTGCATATTTAATTTATTTTACATTAGGAAAATACAAGATCATTCAAAAAAAATTATTATAACTTTAATCACTGTCCTCAATTTCATAAACTATTAGTCTTTTCTTCTTAATTGGTATGATGTCACTTTCATCACTTGAACGTTCTTGATAAGATTCTACTTCAAGGGTTGACTAATTACGGAAGATCTCAGATTGACAAAACTTTGTAGTGAAATCCGTAATTAACAATTAGTTTTTTTTTTTTCCCCTAAATTTTTGTAAACCTCGTCATATTGGTTTAAGCACTTACTAAGCTCTTGTTGGAATCGAAGAGCTTGTTCAACATACGTGCCATATTGTAAAAAATTATTACCTAATTTTCTTCCCAATTCAAGTTCTACACTGATGCTGTGAATATAACTGGTTCAGATTGCTCTCCATCAGAATCATATCTTCATCAGCGATAGTTTCTTCAATATCTGCCTGAGCTAAATCCTCAAGGGCCAATTTAGTGATCTGGGAATCTTCATGCTCTAATGGTAATCTATCATTATCATCTTTAGCAGCATCCGGGTATATTTCCAGCATGTGTTGAGCGTTGATTCTTTAATCTGAGTATATAACAGTCCAACATGCTTAACACAATCTAAGATTGTAAATTTCTTCCAAGCATCCATTAAAGTAAGAGATTCATCATTCTCCATTTGTTCTAAACTATATCCAAGGTTATATATAGGTTTGTTTGATATAGAATGCCTTAAAAGTCGGAATTATTCCTTGATCTAGCAGCTGTAATGAGAAAGTTGTATTCTTTGGTAAAAAGACGACTTCTACATATTTGTGTTGTAAATCTTGAGGATGACCAGTTGCATTATCAATTATTAGAAGAGCCTTAAAATGCAATCACTTTTTACTTAAATAATTTTTTACATCTTGGGCAAGTATTGTTATGAAACCATTTATTGAAAGCTATGGCAGTAAACTATGCTTTCTTATTAGCCATCCAATAATAAAATAATAAACCAGAAGATTATTTATTTTTATTCCTTTAAATGAGTAAGGTGTTTTTGATTTGTTAATGACCAATGGTTTCATTATATAATCGCTTGAAGCATTGCAACAAAAAAGAATTGTTATCTGATTTGCAAGCTTTAGTTAAGTAGGTTCTTTCAGGCAATTTTTTTAGAACAACTGGAACTCGTCACCACTGAAGATCTGATCAGAAGTTAGGAGTTGGCAGCAATGATTTCAGCAAATTTTGCTGTATATTGTTGTGCTGCATCTGAATCAGCAGATGTACTTTCTCCTTTCAATCTTAGATTATGTAAAGATTGTCTTTGTTTAAATCTCTCAAACCAACCATGACTTGCGGGAAAAGATACCTTTTTTCGTCTGACAAAGTCTATGGCGATTGATTTTTTAAGTGCTTTATAAATCCTTAAAGCCTTATTTGTAATAGCATTAGTATCAATTGGAATCCATTTTTGATTTTGATCTTCTATCCATATCCATATTTTCCATTGTATCATCTCTTACATATGAAATTGTGCTCTTATTGCTGCAAGTTCCAGCTGCTACACTTTCATTTTTTCTAATTGTCCTTATTGTGGCTTCATTCATGGAATAAAATTTAGCAACATCCGTTACTCTTTTTCTATTACGTTGACGATCTAATTTTTGTTTCTAAAGAAATAACTTTTCTTTTTATTTGATTTTTTTTCAAATCTTTTGGCATTATAAATCCTTAAAAAATTTACGTAAATTGTAAAAAATGCCACAAAAAATATAAATGTTGAAAACTTTCCAGTAAACATTCAACTATGTAGATAAAAATGACATAAGCTTTGCTGTTAAAATACTGATACTGCACTAGTTCACATGAACCAAATAGCTTTACTGTTGTAAAATACATATACATACTAAGGGGATTCCCCTTTTAGAAATACAGGGAATCTCCATCCTTGTTGTTGCCACCAGTGTTACCAAAGGAATGAAATTCAAAAATGACTTCAAATATATGTATCTGCGTATATGCAGCCAAATACATGTTTTTACCAAGGTTCTGAAATCCGTTAATTTTTAAACCGTGTAAAACAAGGGAAAGGTATATATTTTTTATTTTAATAAGAAAATGCTGGTCAGTGAAAATCTGCTGTAATGTTTAACCCTCTAAGCACCATGGTCAGCTTTATCTGGTCATGAGATTTTTTTGTCACTTGGTATATAACAGCTTATGATTTATGATATTTTGCTTTCTTACTTTCTTTAATAATATAAATGTCATCTTAATAAATGTAAGTTTATGAAAATAGAGCCTAAAGTAAGTAAATATACAAATTCAGCTAATAAAGACTCTTTAAATATAGGTCTTCATGACAGATCCAAAAACCCTGTAAGGTATTTCTCTCACCTTCTTAGCATGTCTTCGTGGTGTAGTGGTCAGTGCGAATTCGAGACATCTGTGGTTCGAGTCCTGGTGAGAGCATTGCTCATTTTTCATGTCTCCTGTTTCCAAAATACCTAATGTCTCTACAGTGGTGCCTGAACTAAAAGGTGGTGAGTGATGATTCTTCACCACTAGGATTTGGCAATTGGGTTCCCTAAGAACCTCAGTCACCCTTTAAAAGGGGGGTTATGTAAGGTATTTCTCCTGCCTTCGTGGTGTAGTGGTCAGCACGCTCAGCGCATATTCGAGAGGTCCGTGGTTCGAGTTCCAGCAAGGGCATTGCTAATTTTTCAACTCCCCTGCTAAATTTAGTGAACATATTTTAATGTATATGGAAAGTAATTAAATTAGATTTTTGCCAATAATATATATAGTAATGCATTTATAGGTTTCTTATTTGCTTTGTTTTGAAATCTAGAATAATTGAACATGTGTAATGTATAAATCACATCTAAAAGTTCATTGCTCTCTAATCTTGTTACTTATTGGTGCTTTAATAAATTATGAATTGAACTTTTCATAATTTTCCATTTTAAGAGTTTTGGAAATGGATCTATTAAAAAATCTTAAGTGGACTTATGCATGTTTTTTTTTTTTTTTTTTTTTTTTTTTTTTTTTTTTTTTTTTTTTTTTAAGTAATGCAGCTTTTTAAAAAAGAGGTAAAAAATAATTTTGATTCTAGAAATTCATCAGACAATTTATACATGCCTTATATGTAAGTTTGCATTAAATTAATTATTGTCATTTTTTTAACTGTTTAGGGGTATTGGTAAACAAGGCTACCAATGTCAAGGTATGTTTTTTCTGCTTTTAAAATTCTTCTCCCTTTTTTGTTTGTTGTAAAATATTCTGTGCTCGTTATTTATCATTTCAAATTATTTTTTTAGTGTGCACGTGTGTGGTCCATAAACGATGTCACGAATTTGTTGTTACTAAATGTCCAGGTTCCAGAGATGCTACGGCAGATGAAGTAAGAAATTGCTGGACTTGTGTTATGAATTTTCAAGCAATTTTGTAAAAGTTATTTCAAAAACTAAAAATAACTATTTTCTTAAAAATTAACACTGGTCATCAAAATTAAAGGTTAATGAGAAAAATACACTCACTAAGTTAATGTTGCAACCAGTTCCCAATGTTGTAATTATTTATGTTAATTAAGTACAATTGAACATAGAATTGCATTTCTGTACATACATTAGTGGTCGAAATATATGTAAATTTGGTGACTGAGAATATAGTGCGCAATGAGTGCATGTTGGAATTCTAGTGTATAGTGTTGTTTAAAGTAAATGTGGTTTCTGAGAGTGATTAGTGTCTCAAAGGCATCATTTAAATGAAGGGCAAAAATGGCAACTAATTGGTAAAATCAAGGGACGTCAAACACAAATGAAGGTTGCCCAAGTTTTGAATATTTCTTTGAATATGACTATTTGAGTGTCATATTAAGAGTTTGGAGCCGCCTTTTAAGCACTGGAGCAGTTGATAGACAGTCTGGTCAAGGGTGACCAAGAGCAACAACTGCATCAGAAGATTATTTTCTATGGTTGTTGGTTCGAAGAAATTGTGAAGGGACTTTAAGAGATTTGCTTCTACACCTTCAAGCTGCCACGGGTACTCGAATTAGCTGTTTACTGCTGCATGAAGGCTTAACGAGGTTGGACTGTATGTGAGAGTACCAGTGGTTTGTGTCTCACTCACTTCAGCTGTCAAGGGAGCCCGTTTAAACTGGTGCTGTTATCATGTTCAATGGAGTGAAGATGACTGCGCCCAAGTATTGTTTACTGACGAGTCCAGATATAGTCTGAACAGTGATTCTAGATGTGTTTTGATCTGGAGAGAGGAAGGAGCACACAACTTGCCTTCCCTTGTCCTTGAAACATCCTTGACTGTGGTTTAATGGTTTGGGGAGGAATCACGACTGAGCTGCATATCTTTTGAGGAGGTTCATAGCCACTCGGAGATACTTGGGTGAGGTCTTGCAACCCCAAGTTAAGACTATTTGGAGTGCTGTTAGCCCAGAGTTTTTGCTAATGGATGATAATGCTCGCCTCATCAAGCATAGGGGTGCTGAAGTTTAGCATCCAAACTCCACCCTCGTTTCTCCAGGAGCTGAAACACGCACTTTTAGAAGACTGGTATCTTGATCAACACTTTTTGTAAAGTGTATGAAATGAAGATGTGAAGTGAGGTATGCATATTTGTCCAATGTTAATACAACTTATTAAAGAAATATTTTTTCCACCATTTTCCAGCTTCCAAAAATCTGGTTTTAATTTCAATATTTTATAAATAATCAACTGTCAAATATATTGTAATTTATGTTCACTAATACTTTTGTGCAGATTTCTATTAATTTTTCATTAGGTATCAATTATGTTTTATTTGTCATTATCCTCTAATTTTGATGACCATTGTACAGTAGAGAGTCCAGAAATCCGCAAAGCTTGGGACCAGAGGTTGTGCGGATTTCAGGACAGAAAAGATAAATCATAATATTCAGACTAAAAGTGCAAAATAAATATGGCGTATTAGATACATTTAATTAAATTATTATATACATTATTGCAATAACTTATTATATGCATTAAATTATTATTACATACATAAATTGATTATATTATTCATTGTATAATATATACACAGCATCGAGGTTTGCCGATTTCGCCTGATGCAAAGATTTCTGATTCCGGTGTTAGAATCACTGTTACTGTAAAATTTCAACAGCTTTTCTTTATTTTTCCATATATCTTACACAATTGTATCGCAATTCCATACAAAAGGGCTGAAATTTAAAATATTCGTAATTTATCCACAAAATATACGGATTTAAAAAAAAGGCAGCACTAAATAATCTCGTGAAATCAAATAACAAAGCTCAGAAAATACAACAATGTGAATCGTGAACTTGAAAGAAGAGTTGAGTGAATCGTCTGCTTTTTTGCCTGGATGCAGAATAGAGGGGAAAAACTTTTATCATGATGTCAATAATTTGGTATTTCCGTTATGACTCATTCTGTAATTATGACGTCTTTATTCAGTATTTTTTCTTCGATATTTCGTACTCAATGTTTTGGTTTCCCGAACCTATAAACTGAATGTTTATATTTTGAGACGCAACGCAGATTTCAGGTCGGCAGATTTTCGGTATTTGACTGTACTTACTAATATTTTAATGCACTCAACCAAGTTAACTTGGGTACACCAAACTAAATTATTTCTGCGTGTCTGAGCAAATACATTCAAGAAAAATTTTTGTTTTTTAGTTATGAACATAACAGAATATATCTGTTACAGTTTTGAGTTAAAATAAAGAATTTTAAAAAATTTCGAAAAATAAAAGACTACTTTCTGTATATTTACTGATACTTTAAAGGATTAAGAAATTTTTGGAATTTTCTTTGGAAATACTAATCTGTGAAAATAATACCAAAATAATGAATATAGGGTGGATAGAAAGTTCCTTTGCACTGACTTTTGAGATTTTGTGCAGCTTACCTTCTGTGGTTCCAAAACGTGTGGCTTCCTCTGTGTTCATAGGATAACATCATGTGGCTCCATATCTTGATTGCTTATCCATAACACCATAATCATTAGTGACTTTCGGAAATGCTGCACAAACTTCTTATTGTTGGAATATTGGTTTTCCACATCATTTTCAGAAATTTCTTCAAGTGAATTATCAGATATGCTGATGTTGGGGCTTCTTGTAGGCCAAGGAAGTAAAGCTGAGAATTGTATAGATCTGCATCTAATCCAGCAGTTTGGGAGATTTCGGCAACTGAGTAGCAGCCTAGAGTCAGTAGTACCAGGCATAGCTTGGGAAGGTTCAGAAAACAGGCAGGTTCATTGTCCAGTGAACAAATATATTCACTTTACTTTTTAAAAGCAGGCAAAGTAATTTTTTGTATTATTACAGTGTATGTGTTGTTTGAATATGAGAAAACCGTGAGGTCTATCTGCCTAAAAGGAGGAATGCCTTTGGGGAGGACTTTCTGAGGACAACTGGCTCATAATCATGTTACTCTTGGGAAAAGCCTCAAAAATCAGCCATGCAGCCAACCCGTTCACATAGGATCGAACACAGAGCAAGTCGTACTATTAATATTCATTGGTCATACCAAACGGCCACAATGGGGCCTATTACGGTGTAAAGTGACTTACCACTGACCTTATTATTGCCTTAATTTTACATAAATGTTTATGTTTGTTAGTGAAAATTATTGATTTTATTAACATTTGATATTAAAAATTTTGATCATTTTAGTATTTTATCCTTGAAAGTGTAAAAGGAAAAGTAAAGCTATTAAAAATTATTGCTACTATTACTCTATGTAAATTTATATAATTTTAAACCAAATTTCAGCTGCTTTTTTTTTTTTTTTTAATTGATATTCTTATTATGCCTTAACTATAGGCCGAAGAATGGGTTTTGTATCATTATGATATTGTGAGAATGAAATTTAGAAAAATTACACACTGGTTAGTTCAAAATTTGCCTTGTAAGTAGTTTTTCTGAATTACAAAGTTTTGTGATGTTTAGAACTCATTTAGAAAAACACCACAGCATATATGTATATGGGATTTTAATCACATATTTTATTCAGAGACATTATTACTGTTAAAATTTTTCAATAAATAGTACGTACTTTAACAGTAATTTTTATGAAAATTACAAATGATCCCAAAATGGTTGAAAAATTGATGATTGATCCAAATCATTAGAAGTTATCTTCATCACAGCAATTTGACAGCTTTCATTCTCCATTAGTTTTATGAAGAATTACATTCAAATTAGATTGCATTTTTCTTAGGCATTGAAGATTATATTTATTCAGCATACTTCTTATTTATTTATGATATTGTATTCTCCTCTATGCAGGTGGCTGGTGGTAGCGGCAGTAGATTCAACATAAACATCCCTCATCGTTTTACTGTTCATAACTACAAACGACCTACATTTTGTGATCATTGTGGATCCATGCTCTATGGGTTATTCCGCCAAGGTTTGCAGTGTGAAGGTATTTAATGTTTTATTTTCATTTATGCAGTAGAATTCCAATATCCACAAATACCTGTAAGTCACATGCAATCTTTGGGTGTAAACAAGTAATATTTAAATTTTTTAGGAAATTCAACATAGTAACTTTAACAATGATTTTTTTCTAATATTAATATAAAATAAACTTTTTCAAAAAATTGCGCCATATTTATAGTATTGATTAAAGAAATTAATTTTATTCCTTATTAAAGTTATATAACATTTTCTGCACAATTTCCTTTTTGGAGTAATTGCACATTTTGAATTTGCAAATTTTTTGTCGTAAATAAATCTTATTTGATAATATGTTTTAATATAAATTTTGAGTTTATGTGGTTAACATGTGTAAAGAATTTTTATATTTACAGCTTTTCCAGATGCAGATTTTCAAATGAAATGTACTTCATGATTGGTTTGTTTACATTATGTGCAATGAACGCTTCCTTAAATTGCCAGTCAGAGAGATAGATTCTTAAAAGTACCCATTACAAAGATTAGTATGGCTTTGAAAATCAAAAGCGTTATGACATCAGCGTAAAATAGCAGAAATTTTAATAAGATCAGTTCTGACATTTGCAAGATATTTGTGATATTAGTAATCCAACAACTATGTGCTGAATATAACGGCATATATGTATATGAGAATATATGCGCTGAATATAACGGATTTAGCTTAGGGATTCAGTTTGGAAAATCTAAGCTATTGAGGTTTTTGTAAACAGTATATTTCCCTATTTACCTAGTTTCTAGAAAAATTATTTTGAAAGTAATTCTGCTGGTAGATATACAATTTTTCTTTTATATAAAGGATTTTTGATGCATTTCTTATAACAGAATTCTTCAAAAAAATTCCTAGTCATTTGTCCCTTTTCCTCTCAGCAATGTAGGTTTTTTTTTTTTTTTTTTAATTATTTTTTAAATTTTTATTATTATTATTATTATTATTATTGAAGCATATAAATATATTTAAGAATATAATGATTTTGCAATTATTTTAATAATTCCTAAAATAGGATTTTTATAGTTATTCATGTGCACATAGTCCAAATTTAATGTAAAAATTACAGAGAGAGAGAAATGTAAACAAAAGTTAGAAAGACATAATCCATGCAACCTTTGGTCTCAAGATATTCAAATTATCAGAATTTTGTTGTAAATGCTTGTGATATTTTAATTTTCATGCACAAAATACGCTAGCTTTAGCTTCAGTCTTTTGGGATTTTGCAAAGTGTGATTGCTGTATTTATATCAAAACCTGAGTGCTAAGCAAAGAACCTTTTCTTAGTCTTAAGAAATGAATCAAGTGGAAGAAATTTTTATTGTATTTCATGAGAAAGATAATTAAATCTTAAAAATGGACTTCTCTTTTGGGTGGCAGTTTAAATCTTTAAATTAGAACTAAACTAAATTTAAGAAATATATAATATAAGCCTTTATATTATCAAGATTTAATGCTAAAGGAATCTGGTTTTGAAATGTTCTATGTTTTTAAGAATATTTTCATATTAGGTGTTTTTTTTCCCCCATTCTTTGTTGAAGGCAAATAGTTTTAATCTGTTTTCTCATAATTAATTGAAACAAAAAATCCCTCCCTTTTTTGTGGAAAGTACTGCTAATATAGTAAATGTACATCTAATGTCCTTCCATGTGGAAGCATAATTAGAAATAAAATTATTTTTCTTGAAATTTACTTCTGTGTATTCCTTTTTCTTTAAAGCTTGTAGTATGAATGTTCACAAACGTTGTCAGAAGAATGTTGCCAATAATTGTGGGATAAACCCAAAACAAATGGCTGAAATATTGAGTGCTCTTGGTTTCTCAAGTGATAAACTAGGTAAACCTCCGTGTAGGAAAAAAAAGGTAATACATTTTTATAGTAATATTTTTTAGTCTTATATATTTTGACATGAAATTTTTGTGTAATAAAACACTCTTTTTAAATGTATATATAATACTTTTAAATGACTGTTGAAATATCTATTATTTATTGGGAAAGAGAAATTTCATTGATATTGCAAGTAAAGGCAAATTTATTTTGTCTCTAATCACTATCCAGCTGAAGTATGTAAAGCCTTTTGTACTAGATGAGAGATATGAATAATTTCTGATGTTGTTGTTATGACCTTTTGTATGTGTTGTAATGTTTGTCATTTTTTTCATCAATGTGTAATTCTGAATGCTTTAACTATGTGTGTGTGTATACACACATATACACTCACTTCCAAAAGTTAAGCACGGAGAGGAAAATGCTAATTTTCGGAAGCCAATCAGAATTGAAGAGGCTGCATTTCGCTGCAGAGGTAGATGGAAGTATGCAAATATGTTAGGTAACAGCCAATCGCGCTTTCATGTCAAGAAATATGCAAAAAAGGCAGTCTTATAAGAAGTCAATTTTATGAAGGATTGTAAATCCTGATAGAAGGTGTTTAAAACCTTCATACAATTTGTTTTCAAGACATACGTGTTTCTATGACTTCCAGAAGACAAATAGAAGATTCTGAGCGCTGGCGTGCTGTGGGGCACATTGAAGCAGGACAGTCAATCACAGATGGTGCTCTTTTCTTCGGCATTCATCATTCTGTAATTTCACGTTATGGAAACAATTCCAAACCACACAGACAGTTGTCTGAAGGCCGGTCACCCAAGGGTTACAACCCCTGCGGAAGGAAGATTGATGTATTGCTATCGTAGCCAAGCAGAATCGCAGAGCGACCTCCACACGTGTGACATCTATGGTTACACCGTCCATTGGTAAAGCGATATCTGCAGCTACTATACACCGAAGATTACATATGAGTGGGTTGTACACTCGGATACCTCGAGTTTGTGTTCCTCTATCCGTCCAATCAAGAGGGGCATGATTACAGTGGGACGGGGAACATGTCAATTGGAATGTGTCTGACTGGGGCAATTTCATGTTTACTGATGAGTCAAGATTTGCTCTGGAGCCAGATGACAAACGTATAAGGATATGGCGTGATCAACAAGCATGCAATCAGTCCCAAAACATTACGCATTCCGAGGTGGAAGCATTATGGCGTGGGCAGGGATTTCATTAGGATACCGCACCGACATGCACATCTTTAAACAGCTTTTAACTGCATCTTTGACAGCTGTCCGGTGTCGAGATGAAGTCCTAGAACCCATTGTAAGATTGTACGCTGCAGCATTTGGCCCTACTTTTGTTTTAATGGACGATGACGCATGTCCCCATAGAGCTGACATCGTCAATGACTACCTGGAGAGTGAAGGGATAGCACGTATGGCGTAGCCAGTATATTCGTCCGAACTTAATCCCATTGAAAATGTTTGGGATGCTCTCGGCCATGCTGTATCTTCACGTTTCCCACCTCCAGCCATTCTTATTGAGCTAGAAACTGCTCTACAAGAACAATGGCGATTGCTTAATTCTGCGGTGGTTGACCACTTAATTGAAAGCATGGTCACAAGGTGTAAACTTTGTATATAGAGGAGGGGGGAATCACATAACCTATTAATGTCCTTTTTTTCATTTTATGCTGTTTATTTTCACTTTATACATACTACTTCTGTTTAAGACTCCAGTATGTCGTTATCTGATAACGTACAAAAAGTTAATATTGTTTTCATTTCTGTATGTAATTATTGATTTTGTTTTATGCATAAATATATATATGCTACTTTCCTGCCGAATTTTGTGTCAATCAAAGCAGTATTTGTTGATTTTTTTGTATTTTACATCTGCATGCTTAACTTTTGGAAGTGAGTGTATATTCGGTCTACCGAAAAGTTCTCTCCGTTTTTGGAATAAAACAAAATACAAATTTTTCTTACTGCCAATAAACTTTATTAAATAATATAATTGCCATTATTATTAATGACTTCTTACCAGCATAAGGGAAATTTGTATATCCCATTTTTGAAAAATGATGTATCTTTTGATGCAAAAAATTGAACCAGTGCATGTTTGATATCTTCTTCATTTTTGAATTATTTAGGCTTCAAAAAATTTTGTGAGGACAAAAAGAAGTGATAGTCGGAGGGTGCTACATCTGGGGAATATGGTGGATGTGACAGACTTTTCCAGCTTAGTTCTGCAATTTTTTGACAAATCCCTAAAGCGGCATATGGCCTGGCATTATCATGATGCAGTATGATGTCCTTCCTATTGAACATAACTGGCCTCTTTTCTTGGACTGCTATCTTTAAATTATCAAGTTGCTGACAATGTTTCTCCGAATTGAGCTTTTCGTTTGGATTTAAAAGCTCATAATGTATTAGTCCTCGAATTTCACACACGGAATACACAACTTTCTCTTATTCAGAGTCAAATTTGGTTTAGAGTTGGAAGGGCTAGGTTTTCTGTGTTTCAACAATATGTCCTTTTCCTTAACGATGTCATCCGAATTCTTCTGACTTAATTCATGTGGCATTCAACGTGAATATTTCCACATCAATCTCATCTTCCAAGTATGGTTTGCTGAGCTGAATTAAGCCTTTCTGAGATCTCCGATGTTGTTAGAAAAGGATCTTGCTCCAACATGATCATAACAACATCATCGTCGATCAAAGATGGTCACCTAGAATGTGGCTTATCAGAAAGGTCGAAATCACCTGTTTCAAATTTTTCAAACCATCTTCGGCACGTCCTATCAGAAATTGTACAACACCAAATGTTTTCAATAAATTTTTGCATGCTTCTGTAGCATTTCTTCCTTGTTAAAATTCATATAAACTACAGTGGCATAAATGAGCTTTATCAGTAACCATGGGTACGCTATCGCTTCACACTTAAGACTAACAGGAATCAACTTTGTTTTAGTTAATTTGCTGCGTCAGTATGTATACATTAAACAATAAAATAGAGCTGAACAGCCGCCAAATAAACATGTGCTTGCATGTCAAAAATTGTTGTCTTAGAAACGGACAGAACTTTCTAGTAAATCGAATATTGTGTGTGTATATACAGTGGATGGACAAAAATATGGAAACACCTTGTGAAATGCACGTTTGAAAAGAAAGATTGATTTTAATGAAATATGTAGGTGGCGCTGGCGTTTTTGACTACTGACGCCACCTATACAACTTCGTAAATGTGCTAAACAGTTCAATTGTTGTCGGAGTACTGTTATGTGAGGTTGTCATTGCATTATGTCAGAGTTAACAGACATCGAACGTGGGCAAATTGTTGGAGCACGTTATGGTAGGTGCTTCCGTAAGCAAGGTAGCCGAGGGTGTTTAGTGTTTCAAGAGGTACTGTATCGAAGATTTATTCTGCATATTTGAAAAGCGGAAAAATATCATCTGCTAAATCACAGCGCGGACGAAAGTGTGTCCTGAGTGATCGTGACAGACGATCATTAAGGGCAATTGTGACGAAAAATAAGAAGACCACAGCTGCAAAAGTTATTGCTGAAATGAATGTTGTGTTACCGAACCCTGTGAGTACCAAAACAATTAGAAGGGAGCTTCATAAACAGGGAATTGCTGGCCGTGCTGCAATTGAGAAGCTACTCGTCAGTGATGCTAATGCCCGTAATAGGAAAAGGTGGTGTTTAAGTCATAAAGCCTGGACTATAGAGCATTGGAAGCGAGTAATATGGTCTGACGAGTCTTCTTTCACATTGTTTCCCATTTTTGGCCGAGTTTACGTCTGGAGAATGCCATCTCAAGCCTATTAATACAAACTGCTTGTTGCCAAGAGTGAAAACATGGCGGGGGGTTCTGTTATGGTTTGGGCAGCCATATCGTGGTTCTCTGCCTAGCCCCATGATAACTGTGTCAGGGCACATGACTGCCAAGACTCATGTGAACATTTTGGCCGATCAAGTTCATCCCATGGTACAAAACTTTGTTCCCCGATGGATTGATGGTGTCTTCCAAGACGAAAAAGCCCCTGTTCACACAGCTCACATTGTCCAGGACTGGTTTTCTGAGCACGAGGATGAGTTGTCCCATCTCCCCTGGCCACCACAGTCACCAGACCTGAATATTATCCAACCTTTGTGGTCTACATTGGAACGGAAAGTACGTTCTCGTTATCCACCGCCAACATCGTTATCTGAACTTGCCACCGTTTTGCAGGAAGAATGGTATAATATTCCCTTGGCAAACATACAGGAACGGTATTTACTCATTCCGAGAAGACTGCAAGCTGTTTTGGATGCCAACGGGTTTCGTACACCATATTAAGCAAAGAAACATGTTTTTTTAAAGGTGTTTTCATATTTTCATCCAACCCCTGTATATATACACATACACATATATACACATACATTTTGCTTGTTTTGAAGCATAGTATACATATGTTGTTCATAGTTCATATTTAACAAATAAATAAAAATAAATAAATTTATTAATTAATAAAGCAATGAAAAACGAGGATATTTAATTGTCTAAATGCTACTACTTGTGTTATAAGAGATTGAGTTTAACAAATAAAAAAATAAAGCAGAAGTTCATAATTTGCAGGATCAAATTTGTAGAAGGAAACATACATTGCTATGCTCAACAGAAGGGGGAAAAAAAAGTTGTGAAAATATGCCTTTCTTGATAGGTTGAATTTCACTTCTCATAATTTGCTTTTGCCAGAAATGTCTGGACAATTATGGTAGTCTCTGAGCATATTGGGCATAAATGAATGGTAGCCAACTAGTGGCCCTTGGCCACATGTAGCAAGATTAACAGCAGTCATTGTATAAGGTAGTGTAGACCTTACGAAAAAATTAACAGCGATTTAATTTGGCATTGCATTTCATAATTCTTGTACTGGCACAGAAATGATTTTGACTATGATGTATGTTCATTTATGGAAGATGCATGTGTCAAAATGTTTGGTAAGTAAACTTCCATCCTTGCCCTTGGGTAATGTGTGGCACATTTTTCTATTGAAAAAGTAACAGTTTTATAAGCAGATAAAAGATTTTGTATTATTTTCTTTTCCTCATTTTAATGCAGAAGTGAAATCCTTTTTCTAACTGTTACAGATACAAAATTATTGTATTTTAACAATGAAATCACTTTTCAGAAGATTTATTAATATCACTTCTGAAAAATATATTTAATCAGGATATTAGCTTGCATTGTTGTTAAATATTCTATTTTGGGTTTGGAATGTTTAAAGATATCACATGTTTACAATGAATTAGTTATATCCAGTATTGTCATATTGCTTTCCCCCCACGTCCTCCATATTGTGGATGTATATGAGCATAATTATTACAGAGTACATACAGAGTAAATATTGCTGTATGACAGACTATGTGCGGGGTAAATATTGTTTCAATATTTATTTCATAATTTGTTAAACTTCTTTGTAGGTCAGTTCATATCTTAAATTGGCTGTCATATATGCAAAATTCAGTTATCACTGTTGTAGCTCAATTCCTGGAATGCTGAGAAATTGGAAAATATTTATCTTCATGAATTGTTTTATCAGTCTTAGGTTGATAGTAGTTTCATTCCTTGTCATGAATGTTTCTCTCAATTTTTCCTCAAACTTCAGTGAGCCAGTTTTATTTAATAGTATCATCATCACATTCCCTTGTCATTATCATTTTTACAGGTCTAACAGTGAAATTCATTAGCATCAGGAAACAAAGAACTGATTGCATTTCACAGTCATTTAATATGTGTTTAATCACTAATCATTTAATATGTGTTTAATCATTGTAATTGATTAAATGCATATAAAAATTCATCAAAACTCATCTAATTATAAAACTCAAATTCAGTTGCATTAATCAATATAATTGGATTCGAGAATAAATTCAAACGTAACATAAATTTTGCAAAATGATGCCTTACAATGGGTAGAAGGATAAAGGAGCAGTCTGTTCATTTCACATGGATTTTATACAAATGACAGCTTTTGAGTATTTTCTAAGTTTTTGTGCTTTATTGTAATAAATTACATAAGAAAAATTGTATTGCATATGAAAGTATTAGTCATAATATTTAATTACTGCAATTTTTAGATGTATGAATATTTTGTAGAATAATTTTTATGAAGTTGACTGCAAAAATATAATCAAGTATTTATAGTAGTAATTTTTGTTTCTGTGTATGTAGCATTTTGATTTATTAGTTAAGCTTTTTTTAAATCATTTTTGTGAAATCTGTAAATTATAACTTATTGTATGTTTATTTTTCATCTGTGTATTCTCCCCTCTTCTTTTTTTTTAACCTCACTTGAAGGTGATTGTAAAATCATTTTCTTGCATGTTGTAATTCTAGTATTTTATCTGTACATTGATTATATTGTTGAAATATAGTATCTTGTTAATTATAAATTATATCAATTGCTACTATTTTTACAGCCATCTATTAGTGAATCTCCTAATAAGCTGGGACAGATGCCTGAGAGGTCGCATACGTCTCCACTTCCTTCAGATTTGGATTCTCAAGGTATGGATTTCTGAACAAATAGAAAGAACAGTACATCTTTTAATTACATTTGACTAAGTTTATTTTATATCATAAATAATGCATTTCATATGGGTATAAACTTTTTTTATGCAGCATAGTTTTTATACTAAACATACGTATATATTCAAAAAGTTCATAGAGAATGATTGGAGATAAATTGTATTTGAAATGTAAGCAGTTATTATCTCAATACCTTTAAAGTTACATCTGTAGGAGTAAAGAGGCTTAGGTCCAATATTTTCATTGGCATCGTAAGTGATCTGTACAATTTGTGTTCCTTAAAAAATGATATTACTAATCCAGAGCAAAATATGTCTTTATTCATTCTTTGTGAGAACGAATTCTTCGAAAATTGGCACCATAGACAGACTATGTCGATTTTACTTGGAGATGGCATTAAGAACATGTATAGTGCTTCTGCTATTCCTGTAAACATTGATAGAGTGTGTCTTTTGATATCTGTTCTAGATTAATAATTGAATTATTTCGGGTAGTTTGAATTATCTGAAAACATTAACCCCCCAACACACAGAGAGAGAGAGATACCTGCAGTGTCAAAGGGGGAACAACTTAGAAAATAAGGTAGTTATGACATGTCTGTGGATCAGTTTCTGGTAAAAGGTACTCAAGATTCTTTGCTGAAGCTCACTTTGCTTAAAATGCGGTTTTGCTCCAAAAAATCAGAAAATGCTTTAATGTTGCATGCATTGTGATACAGCTACCCTGTATCACAATGATGATGTATCCAGATGATGTAACTTTATATATTTCGTACATAGAAAGTAGTGATGCCTCTAAACATTCAGATGTAATTATTGCAAGTGATAAACTTTTTTGTAAACTTCTTATATAGAGAAGTGGGTAAACAGCAAATAGTTTAGCACCACTTTGTTTAATTTTGATTTTTGAAACTAGCAGATTATTATTATATTATAGTATATGAGATCTTATAGTGCTTTCATACTGTTATTTTAACAGGTTTGCCTGCTTATTTAAAACTGCATGCATTTTCTAAACAGAGTGTAATGAGCAGGATGTCGAAATGTACGAGTATTGCATAAATTACACAGGAAGTTGAAATTATTTTTAGAAGAAATGGTTATAGTATTATGATTTGGCCAACTAATTTGTTGCATTTTGGGCTTATGTGTTCTTTTATTATTTTTTAATTAAATAGAATGTTTGTCCTTCAAGTTATCAGAGCATAATTATTCTAAATGAATGCGTTTTGTCAAATTGTTGACTGACTGCTAGCCAAAAGACTTGATAAATTAGCTAAACGGTTTCAGCTCTAAAGAGTATTTATTGATTTTTTTTTAGGTTTTGTACTGAGTTCACTGCAAATTAAAAAATGCTTAATTAACTTGTAAATATTTCAAAATGAATTCTGTAGAAAAAAAGTGCTCTCTCCAGAGTATCTTGAATACTATTTTCAAAATAACCTTATGATGATGATAATTGAGCTGAAAGTAGATATCCTAATTCTTTAGTCTAATTTTTTTTTCTCTTGATAAATTGGGATTCTTAAGATATGTGTAAATTTTGCGAACACTAGACACATATATCTGTAATTAAATTGCCTTTATGTTGCATATGTATATATGTTTTCAATATAATATTTAATATACAGTTGCATTATATTTATTTTACAGAGTATTCTTCTGGTGACCCTTCAGGGAAGTATGGAGATATGCTTGGAAAGTTTCAGAGTTTCTTTCCAAGCAATCGTACGGGAGAAATTACGCCTGGTGATAAAGACAGACCCAAAAGATTAGGATTAGAGGATTTTACATTTATTAAAGTTTTAGGCAAAGGAAGCTTTGGAAAAGTTGGTTTATTAGATTTATAATTTTTATGCTTTAAGATTTTGCTGTAACATTATTCCTTAATTGTATAAAAACACATACTATTTTATTATTTAAAAAATTTAGCTAATTTATTTAAAGTTCTATCACTACGCCCCCTCCCCTTTTTTTTTAACAACAGCTTAGCAAAGTATATATTTTATTCGAAATTACTTATTAATTTTTGCCCTCTCCTCTTTTTTTTTTTTTTTTTTTTTTTTTTTTTTTTTTTTTTTTTCCTCCCTCCTATATTCCTTTCTATATATATTTCTTGTCATCACAAGGATTTTATACTTTTGGAAAACTATGTACTATTCTTTTACTTACTTTTGATTTGACCAGAACAGCAACTTGTATTTTGAATAATAAATCATCATAGATATACCAGTCACTTTGGTTCTTTATAGGTTATCCAGCCATATTATAAAAAATAATTGTCAGGCGTTCACTTTTTTTTTTTTTCTAATCATTAACAGTTTTTGTATGAGACTTCTATAAAAAAATAATGATGTAAAATTAATGTGGTCTCATTAACATTGCAAATCTATCGTGTATTGTAATTTCTTGTTCACCCCATTCGTTAACAATTGCTTTGGAGACCGAAGAAAACTCACCGCACAAATGATGAATATCAGTATTTAAATCAGCTAATCCATCCATCATCACTGTATGTCTAAAATGACTATTCTTTTTCCCAAAAATGTAAACTTGCCCCAACACTGTGTATAATAAGAAATTATATAAATATAATTATCTGTTTGAGACAAAATTTTCTTTTTCTTATAAATAAAAATTTATAGTTACTTCCAGCTACATGTATTTGGGATACTGTAAATTTTTCGAATAGAGTGATTTAGTTTTAACTTATCTGCATTTTCAAAATACAGTTTTATGTATGATTATGGTTTGAAACTTAAGTTAAATAATTTTTATGTAGGTATTATTAGCAGAGAAGAAAGGCACTGATGAAGTTTATGCAGTTAAAGTACTTAAAAAAGATGTCATATTGCAAGATGATGATGTAGACTGTACAATGACTGAAAAAAGGATTCTTACATTATCTGCCAAACATCCATTTTTAACTGCACTTCATTGTTGCTATCAAACAGAAGTAAGTTTGTATATTAATTGCTATTTAATAAGAAACATTATATACTATACTTCTAAAATGTTTGTGTAAATATAGTGAACCTGATTGCAGGAAACTCCAAAAGTGGCCAGTATTTTTAAAAATATGAATACGCATTAGTAATTATAGCATTATTCTCTAATATGACTCTTCCTTATTTGACCAATATAATCAAATATATATTTTATTGTAATCACTGAAACAGCTAATTTTACTATTGGAATGAACTGTGTGTTTGCTAACAAATCAAAACAGTAAATTTCTATTCTTATATAAAACTGTTTTTCACAAAACAGTAATTAATAATCTCTTAAGCATTAATTTTATCCCTTCTGAAAGTGGTGTATTTTATATAGTTTTAGTGATTACTATACAGCATTCTTTGTATGCTTCATCAGTTCTTTTTAGTTATGTTAAATTTCAAATCTGTAATATACAGGGTGGTTATAATTAAAATTACCCAATTTAGACCTACAAAGATTGTGTTTTGGTAGACCTATTTTCTCGGGGAAAAGACAACTGCAATAAAAAAATAAAAGTTTAAATTTTTTACCAACAGATAAAAAGAGTGCATAAAGAACAAAAACAAAAACAAAAAAAAAAAAAAAACAGGAAACACAAAATTTTGTTTTGTTAGAGCATTTGTTCCATGTGCATCACATTTGCATCAATCACACGTTCAAAACATGTTATAGCATAGTAGGGTTCTTGATCTACTGCTGTAATATGGCATGTTATGCTTGCTTTCAGGTAGCGTGTTCAACAGTAGTAGGGTTCTTAATCAGTTGCTGTAATATGACGTGTTACTGAAATCCACATAACTAGAAGTCAGGGGGACTCGAGATCAGAGAATGAGGAGTCAAAGCACTTGGAAAAGTCCTCAAAATAACTTGGTCATCTCCAAAATGGGCACAAAGCAGTGGCTTCATCATCTTGCATGAAGACTGTAGTCTGTCATTCTTATAAGGGAGAAGAAGGCTGCTAAAGACGTTTGCAGTAATGGGTATCCATAATGGAATACTTTTGAGAGCCTTGAGTAATATTAGCCTCAAAGAAAAGGGGACTAAGAAATGAAATCAGCAGTAAAACCACACCAAACAATAATGTAAGCAGAATGCAGGGACCATATTTGGGCAATATTAAAACTTGCAGAACCCCATATGCGACAGTTTTGAGTATTAATTGCTCTCTTTGGGTAACATGCAACTCGTCAGAGCACAAATATTTCAAGGCCATGCATTGTCAATGTCTATTCTTTCCAAAAGAAGGCTAGCAGAATTGGTGCACTTATCCATATCTGTGCAATGCAGCTCTTTCAGAATTTGGGTCTTGTATGGATACCACTTTACAGTGAATCACAGAAGCTTTCATACTATTTACAAAGGGAGTCGAATAGCATGGCATCAATCGAGCATTTTTTGAAGCATATTGAGAACTGGACACTGTTTTGATGGTGGCAAAAGCAACTTCTTCGACAGTTTCGTTTGAAATCCATTTCCATTCCCTTCCTCACAACCGACACAACTCCCCAGTCTTCAAATTTAGTAATCATCTTTTTCAAACCCTGTGTTGACATGGTCTTTTACGTAAGCCTTTCAAGCTTCAATATTCTCACAGTGCAGTTGAAAAATTACCACAATTCTAATAAAACAGCTTAATTAGGAAGCCTGATCGTTCTCCTTTAAAGGCATGGTGAAAAATGATTTTGGGTTATTGATTACTGACTTAAATGTTCAAAATTTGCATAATCTCTTTAGGTTGCATGAAAAGTGCCATCTGTCTTTTTTTTTTTTTTTTTTTTTTTTTTTGTTTGTTTGTTTGTTTGTTTGTTTGTTGCAGATTTCTTTTCCCCATGGTCCATATAATATACATACCAAGTTTCAACAAAATAAGATAGCAGAAAGGGTTTTGCATAGATCTAAATAGAATAATTTTAATTATAGCCACCCTATATAACAAATCAGTGTTCAACAGGTGCCAGAGTAACTTATTTCTGTTTTTCACATTTTTATAACCAGTTGACAGTTCAGTATGTGTATGAACTGGATTTTGTTTTAATTTTTTGCACTTTTAGTTACTTATTTGTTAAAATGTTTCAGCAACCTTGGTTAATAATTAAAATGTTTAGGAAAATATGGAAAAGCATTGGTTTAAAATTAGATTTTTTTTTCTCCTAGTAATGATTCAAATAAAATTGGCTGAAATGTATAATGGCTCCCTAATTTATTTCTGGTGGATAGTTTTTCCCATAATTTTCTGTTAACAGGCTGCAACTTAGCATTAAACATAGACATTAGCATGAAGTCTAACTAGATGGTGGCAACCCTAATGATACATAAAAATTCATACAGAACTAGTAATAACCATAATGTGTCAGACAATATGCTATATCTCTAATGTTTAATTTGTGCGTTGCTGAATTATGCTGTTCTGTGATATTTAAGTGAACACAGATCTATATTGGGTGTGTGGATCACTACGTATGTAGAGATAATAACTGTTGCCCCCATATACTACACAGTGTATATGGGGGCAACAGTTATTATCTCTACAAATGTAGTGATCTGTTTTTGCTTCAAAAAACATTAAAAAAATTGCACTAATTCAGCTTCAGGTACATTCATGATGTTGTATAAACAGTCTACCACATTTGGCTATTGGTATCCCATTAACAGAAAAGAACCTTTCTACCAAATATTGTACCTCTTGAACTCTTCCTGTTTAACTATGAATCTTTATTCCAAAATAATGTCATTCGGAATGTATTAAGTATTGTTGCACATGCCGTGTGAATAATGTTGTAATGCTATTTAATATATTATCAATTACAGAAAAGTGATTAGTAGTCTTATTTCATTACATTTATAGATTCTACCGTAGATGGAAAAAAGCAAAACTGAATCCCCTTCCCATGAATATTAGAACTAGAATGAATCAGTATTAAACTAATGTTTTGGAACTTATTTAGTCATAAAAATATATATCCTGTGACTTCCAGGATATGTGAGTTAGAAGGAAATGCAAGTTTAAAGGATAAGTTATGTTCGGGTATGTAGAAATGACAAACAAGCTTGCTTAAGGAAAATGGTTCTCTCTTCAATCAAATAGCTATCAAAGAATGGCCATTGTCTCCAGTAGCAATAAATTTCACAAATTCACAATGTGCTACTTGTAGTACTTTTGCTATTAATGTAAAATACCTTAATTCATTTTATATCATAGTATTCCACCTGAAACACATTTCTCACTAGAGCTTCTGTTTATGGTCTTATCCCTTAAATGCAGCAGATTTGTCAGTCGAGCATTTCCAAAATGTTGGATAAGAATATTTCAGAAATCATCATAATCCACTAACTACATTTACCAGTATACAGACTTTAAATTAGCTTGGTTGCATTTCTGCACTTGTCATGTGACACTTTAGTGGTTCTATTTCAGAAATCTAGTTGTACATTTTCGTAGTCTGTGAATAATACTTAGTGTACTAAGATTAGCCTTCGTTAAAAATGATGTCTTTTTTAACTGTAAAAAAAATTACCTCAAAAAAAGCTGTATATATTATCATATTTATTTTATTTTCCAAATGCCTCTCCTAGTTGTTGCTATTTGAGTAGAATATAATTTCTAAGAAAAACTATATTATTTCTTGCCTTATTCTATTATCAAAAGTAATTTTAGATGTGCATCAAGAAGTGTTCAGCTTTTAAATATATGTTCTTTATTAACTGTTTTCCCCTTATGTGCATCTAGGATCGTTTGTTCTTTGTTATGGAGTATGTTAATGGAGGTGATCTTATGTTTCAAATTCAGAAAGCCAGAAAGTTTGATGAACCTCGAGCAAGATTTTATGCATCAGAAGTAACTTTAGCATTGATGTTCCTGCATCGTAATGGGGTTATTTATAGGTAGGTTATAATTTTTATTTGGGACACTATGTAACATAAATTTCAATAATTTCCATCATGATTAAGCCACTAACTAGTCATTTGAAGCTTTTATTTCAAGGCTTCAGAAGAAAGAGATGTCAGTGATTTCAGCACTTTTAATGTAAATCAATTAAATTTAATGAAAAGTAAAATTGTGTCATTCATGGAGCTATTTGGGAGCTATTTGATAAAACCTAAAAGTCTTTATTTTTAAATTTCTGATAGGTTTAAAAAAAAAAAAAAAAAGATAATTATATTAACACTATACCTATCTATAATCTTTAGACCTGTTTTTCTAAACCAACAGTTATTGATGGTATTTGTGTATAACAGATTAATTTAGTTTTCATTATTTTCCAACACTGATGTAATTAACTTATGGAAGTTTAACTGAGTTTCATGAATCTGGCATCAGTTGAGAATGTTTTCTTTTAGAAGATTGTAAGTCTGATTAGATTTATCATCTGGCTCTGGTGTATGCTTTTAATGAAGTTGTTTTTATGTGTTTCTGTTTAATGTTTACTTTAAAAATATTTGACATTTAGAAATCTGAAGTATTTAAAAATGAAATAAAGTAAAAATAATAAGAAAAATGTTAAACGCTTAAATCATGTTATCATCAAGACTACTGTGTTGATTGATCCAGTATTGCTGATCAAATTTTCGAGTAAAAGTGCTTTGTACCTTTTCACTTAAAATACAAAAAAAAAAAAAAAAAAATTAATTAATAAATAAATAAATAAAATAAACACCTTAGAATGTATACAGAGGATGTTAGCCTAACATTACTTATCTTAAAAGATACAGCCAATCCATACAATACACAAATTAAATATTAGAGATATATACAAAAAAAATAAACACCTTAGAATGTATACAGACAATGTTAGCCTAACATTACTTATCTTAAAAGTTCTGTGTGTAAGGTATATTTTCATATACAGGACAAGGAAAAATGGAGCGATGGATTTGAAAGCTCAAAAAGGTATTGTAGTAGGACACAGCATGAAGCGAAAAGTGTACAGAAGATCCTAAAGACTAACATTGCAATGAAACGAAGAGGCTATTTAGATACAATAAATAATGCATGTGTTAATATATACTTCAAACAATGGAAAATTGAATGCTACTTCAGATGCAGGCTGGTCTACCACTGATGATGAAAAAACATTTGGAGATTGTTTTATTGAATGGAAATCTAATAAATAAATAATAGATGCTCTTTGTACAATGGGAGCTGAATTTCTGGCATTTTGTGAATGTGCATGTGAAATAAAATGGTACACCGCAAAAAAAAACAAAAAAATAGTTCTATATCTCCTGTTCTACTTGGCCGATTGATGAAATACAGATTGCATTTTCCATGTTTCAAAAGCGTGATGTAGGATATATATTAGATTTATATATAACTTTGTTCTAACATAGATATTTTGACACAAAATTGGACTTTTTCTCAAATAACATACCAATTTATTACCATATTTCGATTCTACGACTCCGACTATGACTAAATATTAAATTTTGTAATTTTTTTTGAGAAATTTTAAAATTTATCTTGGCAAACTTTTTTCAGTTTGCAGCAAGAATAATTCACTTTGCGAACTTCTTAATTTAGAAAGCAACCTATTTTCCTTAGCGTTCATAATTTCAAATAATTTTAACAAAGTGTGTAAATCACATTTTCATTATTATCGCTTATAATAAATACAGGAAATTTCAAAATGTAAATTCATGTATATCTTAGGGAATTTTAATACACAATTCTAATTTTTGGCAAGTATGCTTATAAATACATCTACTTTAAGATGATGGCAAAACTTTTATAGGTTATAATTCAAAATGTTTTCAAAAAATTTATAAATTAGTTAATTTAAATTTAATACAAATTGAAAAATAATTCATAAAGAATGGGCGAATTTTATTTGGGAACGAACCTAAATTTCGAAATGCGAAAGGAAGAATCAAATAAGTTTAATAAAAAAGAGAATAATTAAATACATACCAAATTCAATCAACACTGAGGAGCTAAAATTTTGATAGCTAATTTTTTAGAAACTATTTATGCGATTTTTACAAAATTTGGGAGTTTGGCATAATTTGAGTCATAGAATTGAAATATGGAAAAAACGTGTTATGTCATTTCAGAAAAAAGTACGATTTTGTGTCAAAATACCTATATTAGAACAATGCTATATATAAATGTAATACATATCCCAAGTCGCGCATTTGAGACATAAAAAATGCAAGTTGAATTTCATCAATCACTGAGTAGAACGGGAGGAATAGAACTGTCCGCTCTTCCCCCCCCCGGCAGTGTACACCTGTTTAGTTGAAGAATTAAAATGGGATGATTTAATTGATAAACCTATTAAAATTAAAACTGATTGTCAAGCATTAATAGACTGCATAAAAAACTCAAAACCATATAATGGCTGAAGGCATATTAACTGGAAAGATTCTTTGTAAAAAATGAACATGAATTAAACAGATCATTTCTCATTTTGCGTGTTCTCCAAATAAAGCAGCAGACAATTTAACCAAGTATCTGACTGCTGTAAAATTGAAAGGTTGTCTCTTAAAATGAGGACATAACTGATTAAAATTAAGTCTTTCAATAAGGGGCAACTTCAACACTTATTATTCATTTCCCTATTAACTGTTCCCTCCCTAGCATTTTTTAATGTTTAATTAGTTAATATATCTATTTATGACTACTATTTGTATTTTGTTATACAGAATCCTTCCACCCCCTTTTTTTTAAAGAAAGGAATAATTTTGATCCTGTCTAATTTAATTTAAGAGTGAAAGTACTGTTCAATGAACAAAACAGCCAATATTGCACACACTGTGTCCCTAATTTATCCAGTTAAACTGTAGGTAAGTGTTAATGTTACAGGAGATTTTTAAGTGCATGATCAATCATAAACTCACAAAAAAATTATTTTACATTAAAAGGTGTTTAATTTCAGTTTTGAGTTATACATTTTTCTGTCTGTAAATATTTTGTGACCTACTAGTGACTGAATGATAAAGATGTAGAACACTGGTAGTCCAATCTACATTTGAGTCCCATTGAATTGTCTGAATGTTTTCATGGTTTTCTGCATGTATAATGTAAATATGATCCAGTTTGTCTGAGAACAGGAGTTTTCAACCAGAGTAAAATTTTTCCCTGAGGGGGAGGGGTCGTAGTTCTCTCAGAGAGGATGCGGTCTGATATTCATTTTGCTTTTAAGCATTTAGTTTATGGATATAAAAAAAAAAACTATTAAATTTAATTCATGAATGTGTAAAAAAACTGTTTTGGTATTTAGCAATATTTTCTGTACTTTTTGTTTAGTTTATAAAACGCGTTAAAAATAACCTAAATTTAAATAAATATGTATTTTTCCAGTTTTGAAAAGGGTGCATGGGGCAAAATAAGTTGAGAACAACTGTCATAGAAGTCCATTCATTAGGCAAATGATCCTTGTCTGCTGTGACATATTCAAATGAATAAATAATAAATATTTTGCTGTGGTTATTTTTATTGATTGAATCTTGTTTGTCTGACTTGTATTTTATTAAACAAAAATATATTTATGTTAAATAGGAATTGTAATAATGTAAGAAATCATACTTATCAAAGTTAATTGCCGGTTGAACAAACAAAACAGTAATTTTTAAAAATATGTGTGGTTATTTATAAGAGTAGGGGAACTTTTGTTTGTTTGTTTTGTTATTAATTAACAGGGGGAAATGCTAAAGCAGATTTAAGATTGAAATAATATATATAATCTCTTTGAGTCGTGGAGCATTAAAAGGAGTCATAATAATACTGTAAAAATCAGAAGCATTATCAACAATCTCTTTTTTTTTTTTTTTTTTCCCTACTGAAATTAAATTATTCTGATCTCTCATAGAAATAAATCTCATGTTTATAACTCACTTCAGGAAATTAAATATATTCATGCCTCGTGAATATTTAAAGGAAAAGTGCTTTAATAATTGGCTTTAGTATTAATGCAATTTTTTTCAGCATGTGCTATATATGTCTGTATATCCAAAATGCATCACTTAACAAACTCTAGCCTAGTTTTTATACATAATTCTTTTTGCATACTCCAGTTTCTTGATCTAAGGAAAATATAGTCAGTTTTCTTTTTCTGTATTCTTTATTAACCCTTTGGCTACGAATTGAAAAAAAATACCCTGTTTTTTATCCAAGTGAACAAAATATTTCATAAATAAGGTAAATTTAGCCTTTGGGATTTTTTTTGAATAACGGTTTTTTAAGCCAAAGGCTGGAACACATATGTCCCAGCTGTAGTCAATGGTGGGATACATATGTCCCACGTATAGCGATCAACTTAGTATAAGCACACCTATTATTCTGGAAAAAGTGTATGAAATAGATTCTTACATTGTATGGTACTGGGTAAAGCATTCTTTGCGTAACCCAACATTGCACATTAAGCAACTCATATTTGTTCTTTTCTCTATGTTCATTTGTATACATCGAGCACTGCAGCGTCTTTATTTTCCAACTATTGGAAGATGATCCCCAACGTTCAGAAGTACTTTTTAACCCAGCAGTAATTTTTCAACTTTTAGTGGGACATACATGTCTCATTAGTAGTCAGAGGGTTGAGCTGGTATAAAGAATTTTTGGTGGTGTTATGATATTACAATATAGAGTATTCTGTTTTAGTGAGCAGTTGTTGTACTACTGTGAATACTTGAAAATATTAAAATATGCTAATTGCTATTTTTTGTCATCAATTTAAACTTTTATCACATTACTTACTATTTCTGAATATTTATTAATATTTTCTTTAGGTATAAAATAGGAAATTATAATCCCTGATGTCGAGTGAAGTTGCACTTCTGTACATTTCATTTAAAAATTTCTTTCCAGGGATCTAAAACTAGACAACATACTACTAGATAGTGAAGGTCATTGTAAGATTGCTGATTTTGGAATGTGTAAAGAAGGTATTATTGACGGAAATACTACTACAACCTTTTGTGGTACACCTGATTACATAGCTCCTGAGGTTAGTATTATTATTCCTGCATTAAATTAAATATGAAATATTCTTGCAAATCATAGAATTTCCATATTTATGCATTCTTTTATTTTCAGACAGTTAACTATTGATTGCCAAAAGTAAAATTGTGTAAATATACTGTATTTTGTGAGACTAAGCTATTGAACTAAAATTTCATGTATATTTTAGGTTAAAGTATGCATCTGATTGAGAAATTACTGAAACTAAATTATCTTCTTTGTAACTGATTTTCATGCTTTTAATATTTTATTATATCATGTCAGGTGTCATTTAAATCAACTTGGAAGCTATTTTAAGTTGTTATGGAGGTGTTTTCCGATGAAGAAACTTATTCTTTATAAATGGAATCCCATTTAGATTCTTCAAGAACTTGAGTATGGCCCTTCTGTTGACTGGTGGGCTTTAGGTGTACTTATGTATGAAATGATGGCTGGCCAACCTCCGTTTGAGGCTGATAATGAAGATGATTTGTTTGAAAGTATCCTTCATGATGATGTTTTATATCCAGTATGGTTAAGTAAAGAAGCTGTATCCATATTAAAAGGAGTAAGTGTGAAGATTTTTATAAGACAACATTTTTTGCTTGGCTTTTTAATTTCTCAGTTATGGCTGCACTGTTTTTGTGATATTTATTGTGTGCACTGTGTACAATCAGACTCTTTTTTTAAATTATTCCATTTAAAAACTATTTATATGTATTGTATTTCAATTTGTTCAATTCTTATTACTGATTCAAAAATGTTTTCTCTTTAATTTTGCAATACTTTGATACAGTTGTATTTAAAATTGAATCCATGTTTTAAATTTTTTATACCTGGTCTCAGTAAATTTTAAGACCAGAATAAATTATGTGGAATTAAATGTGGTTAGTAACAACAAAAGGTATCATTCATTTACATGTATTTTTTTCTTATCCCCTTTGAATTTTAAATTAATTCTAAATAGACTGCAATTTTCACTTGTGAAACGTACAGTTCAGATCAAATTAGGTGCCTCTTGGTATTGATCTAATTAAAAATGCAGCAAAAGGATAACTTATTCAAGTGAAAATAAAAAGATTTAAGTAAATTTTCATTTTTTAATGAGTGCATATGAGAAGAAGGATAAACTCTTCGTTTCAATTGCCATTAAAAAATTAATGTAATATTGCAATTAATTATTATTATAGCAATTTTAATTTTTCTGATTATGATAAAAGAGGCTTACGTAAGTTTTAACTGTCATTATGCATTTTTTAACATCTAGACTTAGTATTTTTTTGCATATTTAATATTAAGAAAACTTATTTGCTAATTTGTATTTAATAGCAGAAATTCCATGCCACTGAGCCAAAATATTAAGAAAAATTAATTTTTAGAATAATTACAAAGCATCAGAGGTGTTCATTGAGGTGTAATTTTCTTCAGATATTTAGAAGTTGATTTTGACAATGAATAATATGGCTCTACAGCAAGATTATGAGACTGAAAAATATTTGCTTCTAAAATGGTTTAAGAGACTACAAACAGTAAGGAATCTCTATATTTGTATGGCCATCTTCTATAAGGAAAAACTGCAGTTGGACAAGTAACATGTAAAAATCATAAGGTTTTTGAGTTCTTATAAACGTATCAATTTTCAGATTAATATTTAAAAATATTAATATGATGGAACAATATTTCCATTTATCCTGGTCATAATATTCTTCTGTTATTTCCAATATTTTGGAAATGAAGCCTCCAACTCACTTACTGAGACCACTGAGACCTTGGAAAGTCTGAAAAATAGCTAGAGAAAATATTATTTTTTTTTTTTCAAAAAATCAGGGTAATTATTTACTTTTCTTAAAACATATAGGAAAATCTAACCCCCTCTCCTTCCCCCCCCAAAAAAAGTAGTGGAAATAAAATACAAAAAAGTACAAATCAGTCCTATGATATAAAGAGAAAAATTAGTGTTTAAAACAGTGGCCAATAAATTTAAATTTAAAATATATCTTTTTCTTGTTGAAAGTATTTTGCCAGTCTTATATCTAGTACAGTTTTATTAATATATAGCTTTCCTATGCTTATCATTACAAGGAACATTCCTAATGTAATCTTTAGACATGTAACTGTTCTTTCATTTGCTCTACGACAGTAAGATAAATAAGATTTTATAACATTCTGGGAAATTTCATTGTTTTGTAATAAATGCATCAAGTTTTTCAGTAACTTACATTTTATTTAATTCCTCAAGCTTCATCAAGGAAATTAAGATGTGAATTTCAATTGGAACTCTGAATTCTCAAGTGTTGTGTACTGTGTAAAAGATATATATGACCACCTCATAATGTTCAAAGACTAATAAAACATTGTCAAGTTGTACAGAAATATCAATTTCAGGCCTTAACTGTATTCTTAAAAATCCAAGGCGATTGTAAATCAAATGGTTTATTTTCTTTTAGATTTTAGTTAGATTTTAAAGAATTTGGATTTAGCAAATATGGTAAAACAAATCTCATTTATAGATAGATATGATTAAAACAGTTACAGCCATCATTCCTGCTGTCTTATATTCATTTTCCTAAATGTGTATGAACATTCTAAAGTTTTGCTAAATGATTCCGCTTAGAATCACACTAGGGTATGCCTTTATCAATGTCAAATATGTAAAAGTAAATAAGATAAATTTACTTTTACATATTTGACATATTGACACCCATAATATATCAATCTCATTCCTTTTATAAAATACTGTTTATTTTTCTTTTTTGTTAGTTCTGTTGTACCTTTTTATATATATCTAATTGTTTTCTTTTGCAATCAGTTTATGACAAAAAATCCAGCCAAGCGTCTAGGATGTGTAGCTTCTCAGGGCTATGAGGAAGCCATATTACATCATGCATTTTTTAAAGATGTAGATTGGGCTGCTCTAGAAGCACGTAAAGTTAAGCCACCATTTAGACCAAAAATTGTAAGTCTTTCAAACTTAGCAAAATATTTTTATGTAACTGCTGTCTTCATTCTTAATTTTATTATCTATTTTCTACGGTCTTAATTTTATTATTCATTTTATCTGTTTTTCTCTGGACTTGTTTCTGTAGTGTACATAGAAATAATGTTAACTTAATTGTTTACAATTTGTTGCACTGATGTTGTAAATATATAGCCTCCTTCCTCCTGGAAATTAGAATTTTTTATGTATTTATAGTATTTGAAAAGCATAAGAAATAGTATTATTGATGGGAAACGTAAATACCGAGATTTCCTGAACTGAGTGAAATGCACTGAAACTTAACTTAAATTTTAAATATGAAAGTATTTGGACTTCCCCTTTTTGTATTACAGTCAAATAATAAATAAATGCGATAGCTTCAGCAATTTTAAATTTGGATGCATTGCTGATTAAGGCAAGTAGTTAATTCTGCTTCTAATTTGTAACAACTATTGAACTCTCAAAGTTACCTGTTGTTAAGTGCCTATCACAAGTATATCATTGATTTGATAGACATATCACTACATGATGAACAAACTGCTATTAAATATGCATATTATGGGTGGGAAGGATCAGTGTTAACTAGCTATGTTTGTACAGAATGACAGAAAGTCATCACATTAAGATTAATTCTCAGGATTATTCATGTCAATGATTGAATAATACAGTATATGGTGTAGAACTGTTGTTCTCAACCTTTTATTGCCTCATGCACCCCTTTTACCATTACTTGAAGATCATTCTCCCGTCCTCCTTTTCAAACTTGAAGAATACATACTGTATACATTTTAGATTACTTTCTAATTTGTTTTATAAATGTATAAACAACAGATTGTAAAAACATATGTATTTATAAACAAAAAAACAAAAAAAAAAATACAAAAAATTTTGGTAAGTACTAAAACTTGAAAAAAAGTAATTTTTTATATTCATAAACTAAATATTTAACAACTAAATAAAAGGCTGACTGCATCCTCTCTCCTGAAACTATGAAATTCCCTCTTATGAGGGATTCCTCTGTGGTTGAGAACCCCTGATTTAGACCTTGGGTTACAGCAGTCAGCATAGTATTTGTTAGCCACTTCTCACTGCACAGGCATAGTAACTTTCTTAATTCAGATATATGATAATGAAACCTTTGCATGAATGGCACCAAATTGTGAAGCTATTAACAAGATGAGACATATAGTCAATTGTCGAGACACTTTGGAAAATATTTGTTTTTCAAAATTTCATTGCATATAACATTACTGAAGAAAATCCTAAAAAGTTTTATATCACTGGAAAGAATAATTTGATCTAAAATATGTTGTAGTTAACCTGAGTAGAGAAGTTTTAACTAAATAAATTTAGGGGGAAATTTAACTGTAAAGTAGATTTCATAAATTCAAAACTGAGAGGAGTGAGGCATTTCAATACCTCAGTTTGGAATTAATGAGATACTAGCATAAGTTACTGACATCTTTTGCTACCAGAAATAGACAGAAAAATAGCTTATTGAATTTTTAGCTTATCAATTCTGTAATTTAGTTTTTGAAATACGTTAACTTCTGCTTTTTTTTTTTTTTTTTAATTATTCATTTGAGTGAATTGTGCTATTTGTTTAGGATGTCAAGAGAATTGTCTGATTGCCTAGAGAAAGATGCAAAACAATTTCATAAACATTTGTGACAAAATTATTAGAAAAGTAGTTGGCTACATAATCAGAGGTAGAATTTCTAAGCCATGGAATAAGTATCAGCATACTCATTTGACTGAAAACAAAGCTAGTAAAATTAGGACAAATTTTGTGACAGCATGTATGGCATAAATTCTGAAATTTGGATGTCCAGTATTCAGAATGGTGTAAACTTCAGAATACCCTCAATTCTTTTAATGTTTAGGAATGGAGATTATAATATGCCAAAAATAGTAGGTATATCATAGAAGGAAATTTTCTTCCAACTAACTGAGATTCATGTGTGTCACTTTCAAACATCTACTAGCTAGAGAATCGCACCATTGTCTATTACAATACATTATTTGATGTCAGCTGCAACCACTTTTTTAGCTTCTGAGTGGTTGTGGAGACATCTGTTGAGAGTGAGATATTGATAGTCATTTGTTGGTATAGCAGTCGGTGGGAAGAGAGAAAAAATTAGATTCGGGAGAAATTTAGGTAACATAATAGATTGCACTCTTCCTTAACTAATTTGATCCAGTTTATTAATTTTTTGTAGACTATTATTACAGCTATCACATCAAAATTAAAGTTTTTAAATTTTTGATTATGTCAAAAAGACATCTAATTCTGCAGCTGTAGCAGGATCTGCAAAATGAAAGTATGTTTGGTATTTGTCTTCTACAGAGGCCTTGGAGTAAGAAAGTTTGTAAATTTTAATTCCATTAAAATCATAAATGCTACTTCTTATTTTTTTATTTTCTAATTTCTGCATATCGTCCAAGTAGATTTAAACTAATGATCTAAAATCCAGAAATTTCTGAAATTCTGGTGATTTTTGTATCTCAGACTTTGTACTGTCATAATAAAATTAAAAAACTATGTTTGACCGAAAGAAGAAATTTGTGTAAAACAATTAAAAATGATAAGTAAAGATAAAAGATGAAAGATATGGATAAACGTAAGTGCCTAAATATGCCTAAATTCCAACTCGCTCTTGTCTTCCCCAAAGTGCATGGAATGATACTCAAAAGTAATTCACTAGGATCTTATCAGATGCAACAATAATAGGGAAGGGACTTATTAAAATCTATGTTAGAGTTGTTTGTATCTTTAACTTTGCAATTAATAAAGAAACTATCAGTGCTTAATTTCTAAAATTAGAATCCTATGGAGTGCCACCAGGAAAAGCAAATGAAAATAAAAAAATAATAAAATAAATTAATAGATGAAAATAATAAAATAACAAAATTTAATAAATGTAAAGAGATAAATAAAGATGTAATAAATTAAGTAATAAGATGTAATAAATCCGCCACAATTACAGTTTCATTCAAAAACTAAGAAATAGCATAGCAGGGCTCCATCTCAATTTCGGCATTTAATGTACAGTTGTACTATTTCAAAGGATGAAAGAAATAAGGACTATTCTTTTTCCAGACACCAGCGAAAAAGAATGAAAAGGTTAAAGCATTACTAGTGAGAACAGAGAAAATGCTAGAAACAGTATGAAAGCATGGGAAAGAGTATTTTAATGAAGAACTGTAAATACAACAATAAGAAGAGATCAGCAATTTCTGACCACGAATCCATACTGACATAGTTCTAGTTATCAAGCAGAATGTGATGGGAGAAAATTGCCCCCCAAATCCGAGGTTTAATCTGTAAGCTGAGAATCACCCTAAAATTCAGTACAAGAGTTCATCCCCCCCCATATATTATTTTACTGCTATAAAAGAGCTGCATGTGTTCTTTTCAATGGGAACTCGCCAGCATTCACTTGTTTCAGCCATTTATATAAGTATTTCATTATGTTAAACCCACTGCAGCTTAAAGCTTATTTAGGAACTTGAATATGCTTATCCTTCCCTGATCTACAGTAAATTGTGAGTAACTAAAATCACTGATAGTGAATCAGCGAAGGCATAGCCAAAATGATCACTAGTAATATTTACTTTTGAGACCCAAAAATTATCCTCTCTGAAACAAGCTCTTGTAAGTTTACTATACTTTGTGGAAAATAAGATTTTGACATGCCCTCCTTAAAAGTCTCAATGTGCCCATTTTTAAGACTTATTTATTATTAAAGTAAAATTTTACTATATCAAAAGAAGTTTCTGCTGAAATTATGGTTTAATTTCAGAAAAGAATTACCGAAGCCTCTTTTATTTAGGGTTATGAGGTGTATCTGCTAGAATTACAATCTATCTCAAAAATGACAAGTACTGGAGCCAGACTCCAGCGCAATTCAAACCTTGAATGCTATCATTATAATTTAATAAGATTAAAATTTTGTCACTGAGTTTCCTACACAAAGCAATTTATATATGTGGCATGAAAAAGGATAAAACGGTGATGGAATTTTCTCTGAAAACATTAATAGTAATGCAGGCATTTCTCCTTTATAGTTAATTAAGAACAATTCCACTTAATTCATGGAACCTCTTTTCTGTTCTGTATTTAAGAGCACTTAAGGAGTTCCAGAATAGTATTCTAAATATAAAAGATCTGTAAATAAATTTAGTTGTCAACGATTGATATAGACACCAGTGGTTGTTTTTTATTGTTATTGTTGCTTTTTACTTTTGATGCAAGTGAAAGCATCCAGTTGAAAGAGAACATTGTAGCAAAGGTATGTAATATAACCCCTTCGAAACGGTCGCAGACACTTAACGGACACAAGTTAGCCGACAATAAGTCTCGCTCTTTCCAATGCTTTTAGATTTCTAATACTTTGACATTTCATTGGTACTTTGCTCAACACATCATGCTATATACATTCCCTCCTCCCACTAATGAAATTTCATTTCCCTCTCAGGAAGTAGAGTGATTCGCCCTACTCATCGCCACACTGGAACTACTCCCCCCCCTAAAATGCTATTTACACATTAGGCATTGCATATTTATTAATCGAGGATAGGATTCCAGCACGGGAATTCGTGCCTCGTGGCCTGCGGCCATAATTACATACGTTTGCCATAATTACATACGTTTGGTTTATGTAATTATGGCAAAGCCAGAGGGCTATGTGCCTAAGGGAAGGGATACCTTCGTGAAGGACTTTCTAAGGAAAACTCGTTCATAGACACGTTACACATGGGGAAACCACGAAAACAGCCATACAGCCAGTCCATTCGCGGGATTTGAAATTCGGACCGAACTACCAGTGTTCAGCGATTTTATCGCTCGGCCGCTGCTGAGCCTAACGGAAATAGTGTCCATTTTACTTAATATATAACCATTCTCTTCTAATGAAATTTGCTTTTTTAGGCTACCTTTATAAATGCATTCAGGAAAACAGGCACCAAAAATTTTCCCA